CCCCCCCCCCCCAAAAAAAATCAGAATAAAAAAAAAACTTCTTACATTCTCTGCTACCAGTCATAGAGGTTGAGGCTGTCATTGAGCTGTCATCGACAGAGTTGTCCGAATGTTTTGCGTTTTTGTTAGTGTGGGGGCTTGCTCTGGTCGTGGTGACCGCTGTAGACAAAAAAAAGAAAGTTTGAGAGAAAAAAACCCCCAAAAAACCCAAATGATGTTGCACTGTCCATACAGAGATAGAAAGCAAGAAATAAAATAGGACAACAATAAAGACCTATTAGTGGCATCTCCGTACACACACGAAGTGGAAAGCAGTCTGCTAGCTCCGTTTACCCTGTATGATTTTGGACTATACATTTTTCTCTTTTTTTTTTAGTCGGACCTCACAGGACTCAATATTACTGTCATAAACAATCAGATGCTTCTAATCAAGGAAAAGTCACATGTCATTGTTATATTATAATATTGGAAAATATAAGTCAACTATGGTAATGACATGACATTAAAATAAAAATTCCTGTTTTGACAAATTTAGTTGAATCATTCCTTTCATATCTCTTCTCTAACAGCCACCTTTCCATGACAGTCACCTGTGCAAATGCACAAACGACCACTTCCCACTCCCTCTTGCACTTAAAAGATATTATAATGACAGTGTACGAGACATCCACCGGTCTAAGACAACAATGGGCGGACACCTTGGACAATTTTGACTCTATAAATATAACAACTAGGTTGAAATATCATTCACATCTGCATAATTCTCCAGAAAATTTTTTTAAATTGAGCACAAGCCATTTCAGTAAGTCAAGGACAATATTTCACTACACAGCTAACATATGATTTGAATATACAACAATCTGAAGTGACATAAGAGGCTTAAAACACCTCTGTCCTTATTAGTCACAGTCCACATTAATCAAAGAGAGTCCTTTATGATCTGCTTCCCACTAGAAGCCATTTGTGAGCCTCTACTGAGTCTACACATTGGTCGCTTAGGAGAACTTCTGTGGGCCTCCTTCAATTAGCTTCTTGCACTACAAAATATGTCAACCTGACACAGTGCCCCAAGCAGAGAACAGACAACATACTTGAAGTTAAAGAAGAAGTCACACCTTTGAGACACCAATGGTTCATTTTCAATTTGGTTTAGAAACACATTTTGATAAAATTCAAATTTAAGGCAAAAGAGATGTTAAAAAAACGCAAAGATTTGAAAATTAATGCCTTGCAGGTAATTGACGTCCACATCCTAAAAAATAAATTGACAAATGCGAATTTGCAAAATCTTTAAAATGCAAAGTCAGCTTCACTGACAAGTTTGTTTTTCTCGCATATCATCAACAAGGTGAACTGAACCAAGATTATTTTCATGGGTGATATTAATTAAAATCACAAAAAACTCTTGAAACCTCAAATACTGTAATAGTGACTGACATTGAAATAATCAAAGTGTAGAGCTCAAAAAGCTAGACCTATGTTTCTAACTTGTTGTAAGATGTGACTAGTTCTTTAAGAAGAGACGGAGACACGACAGCACAAAATAGCAGTAACAGCAGACAGGAAGGAGGATATCAAGTGAAACAAAGAAAAGGCACACAACATTCACCAAAAACATTGTCGTTGTTGAAGAATGTACGATTTTGGGAAAACGACAAAGTCAAGCACACTGAAATAAGCAGCTGATAGCTAAAGAGTATAGTATACATCCTGAATTAAACATCAGAGTAAACCACAATCATACTTACCTCATACAAAAATATAATGCAGTACACATTTTATCAAATTCAGTCTTGATCATTTTGCCTCTGTTCTAACTTCTGAAAGAACTCTGTTTTCTAAACAGACATACGGTTTCTTGCACTTACGCACACAAGTCTTATAAAGAACACGTTCACCTAATGGTTCAAGCAATAGGTGTGACAGTTGGTTAGTTTGTTGGGTGGAGAAGTAATGACAGTATGAACACATTCTGGTGAGGTAAGTATCAAAACAGGAAGTAGTTTCTCACCATTAGTGCTATTGGAAAACACAATTAAGTATGTTAGATATTTATGTACAAAGCAAATAATTATTTCCATGGTGTAGATTTCATTCTGTAACCCCACTCCTCTAAAAATTGTAATGATCTCTCCTGGAGTCGAAAAACTGATTACTGTTTGAAAAACATTCTGAGGATGGAAATATTTCTTTTCAGAATGAGCACATGAAAAGTAAATGACAACAAAACTCTGAGGCTTTGTGCGGAAAATTTAATAGAAAAAAATCATTTGACCCATTGACATTTTAAAGACAGCCTTGCTAAAACATTCTCACATGAACCATTAACACTTCTCTGTGTGTCCTAAGCTCCATTATATAATTATTGCAACAGTGACAAAAACCAAAACATACACCAAGCTATTTCATTTTAAATCATAGGATATGAATATATGCATATATCTTTTACAACACAAAGACAGTGGGCTACATATCTACTAACATGGATATCAAAGCATACAATGTTTTTTTTCATTTTTTTTAAGCAGTCAAAGAATTTCAAATCACTTGATTCACACAAAAGTGAACCTGTACATCGGATTGACTAAATTTAGAAATGGCCAAATTTTTTTTCTGTATTTCAAAAGAAACTGAAATTGAATGTGTTGATTAAATGGATAAAATAATTAATAATACATCACACTGGTCTTAGACCAATCAGAATGAGATCACTACTCCAGTAATACAGTCAGTCTTCCTCAAAATTATTAGTTTTCAAACCTTGAAAAAATTAACTCAAACATTATTTAAGTTTACTACCACTCTGTATAAGAACAACACAACTGCACAAGGGGAGAAATAGACTATAAAAGACTTTCTCGGTTTGTTAGTATTATTTTTCATGCTATGAAACACCTTCACACAACTGAGGTGAGATTGTTTTTAATAAAATGTCACAGTTGTCAAGTTGGAAGTTCCGTAAAAAGTCACGGGCCCCACTGAACAAATATGCTGTATGTTCTACGCAGCTATTATACAGTGCTCTGATATAAGCAAATAATGTACAAACTGCTTATTTCTGGCACCCTAATACACTTAAGTATTGACCGTATAAATGATTTTTTCCTACATATGATCTTATAACAAAAGAAGGGACAACAAAAATTTATGTCAGCACAGAAAAGGATGATATGAAATAAACCTGATCATATAGCTAAAGGTAAAATAGTGACAATATTGCATTCAACAGTTTATCCTTGAACATAGACAGGACACTGACGTATATACCCTTGGACACACACACATTCATACACATATACACATGAATGCACATGCATGCAAACACACACATCCACCTATACACATAAAAACATAAACATATACACATTCACAGATACACACACGACACAGGTGTACATAATATACAGCAGTACAAACATAACTGTCCTCTCTTTCTCTCTCTCTCTCTCACTCTCTCTCCCTCTCTCTCTCTTTCTCTCCCTCTCTCTCTCAATCCCCCCCTCTCTCTCCCCCCCTCTCTCTCCCTCTCCCGCTCTTTCTCTCTATCCCGTTCTTTCTCTCTCTCCCGCTCTTTCTTTCTCTCCCTCTCCCTCTTTCTCTCTCACAAACACACACATACACCGATATAATAATGAAGGGGCTTAAGTGTTTTTCAGAAAACCCTTTACAAAGACAGCTGAAGTTTGAGAATGGAAAGTCCAAGAAGAGAGAAATAAAATCATTGCACCACCAGCTCATCCGCCATTAGGAATCATGGGTCCTTGTAATTCAGTTTTTAAAAACTCAATCCTAGCATATATATATATATAAAGCATAAAAGAACCCAGCGATGAGTAGACAAATCACCTCAAAAGATGCATGGACAAATCAGTACCAATACCTCAAACTTTAATGAAAATCCAACTTGTTAGTTCAGTATTAATTTTTCAAAATATAGTAATCTTTTATAAAAAGGTTGGTAATTTTACGCGCCCATCGACACAATTGAGGTTATATTGTTATCTTATCCAAAGAATTCAAAAACAGAGACCAGTCACACCAGTTTTCTCTGGGTTGTTATCATTGAGGGGAGGAGCTTAGATTCACAGACAGAAAGAAGCATTCGATCTTCATATTCATGAGCAATGCCAAATTGGAAATTGGAAGTTGGTTGGAAATTTACAGCCTCTATTTCCCCACCCTCCATGTCTTTGCCCAAATCCAGGAATTAAATGGTAGACTGTTTTGGCAGAAGTAAACCACGAAGAAATAGAAATTTTGGGAAGATTTGTCAACAGTCATGACTTATGAATGAACAGGAGGTTAAAACACTTTCAATTATTTTGCTTATCATTCACGTGCAAGTTAGTCTATTGGTGGGATTAAAAATTTAATAACAGGGACTCTCAATTTGTTAGAACGGAAAACAACCAAGGTTAGATTTCAAATGGTTAGAACCAGCCCAAGTGTTTGGAGGGAAAAAACAAAGAAAACCTTCCTGTAACATGAAAAATATTAAAGATATTTCAAACGTGTTCACCGAGAGACCATAATTAGTGCTCAACCCAGAGTGACATTCGTATAAATTAGTCTGAATTGTTGAAACACAATACCTGTCTGCTTCTTCGTTACGCCTGGAACTGAAGGATACCAAGACAAGTTTTTCAAACAGGTTCAGGAGACCAGGATAAAAATTTGTGCAAAGCTGTCCAGAATGAATAAGGATTGATAAATAAAGGCTAAAACTGACAAGTTCAGCACAAGAGAGTTAATTTATTTGTGACCAGAAAAAAAACCCCACAGAATGTGTAAACATGAACATATAAGTGATGAAGAATGTAGAGGTGTCACAAGAGAGTAACAAAAAAAACCAAAAAAAGGAGAGATAAGGACGATACAGGTTTGATAGGAAAAAAGGTATAAACATCATCAGAGCATCTGCCAACCACCCACGGCTGCTTATCCTTAGCTTAATACCTTTCTCTACAAAAAGTTCTTTCCAATAACATCTTCCTTTCAAGTTTTCATACAAATCATGAAATCCAATTTTTAAAAATTCTGCAACTTTGCTACAAAAACATATAAGAACTTCTTTGACACATAGGCATAATAAGCCCTCCCTCCCTCCGAAAAAAAGAGAAAAAACAAAACAAAACAAAAAGGTCAGACAAAACACCAAAACAAAACATAACATCTACATTTGCAAACTAAAATCTACAGAATGCTATTCACCAATAAACCCTTCATCTATCCTGTATGCATCTATATAACGGTATTACAACACAGGTTTACTGTACCATCATGCTTTGGCACACAAGGAAACCATTAATCCTATGCGCAGCAGGGAGAGAATGCGCGCTCTTCAAGCACACAGGTCAAGCCCTCACAAGCCCTCAAAGCTTTGGGACTAACAACATACGACATAAAACAGGACATAGGCACAGAGTAGATGCCCAAGTATTACCTTCTCGATGTATTACAGGATTATGAACAGGTATAGAAGCTTGTTCTATTCATTGTAAATAAAAAACAAAAAGCTGAATTAGTAAATCACAACATATTTTGGAAAAATGACCTCTGTTTCTTGGAAACCCCCAAAAAACAAGAGGCTAAAATAGTTCTGTTTTGACAAATATATTGGGAAACTAGCAAATTACTGGCAACATTTATAGTTTGGAATACAGAGGTTATTGGAGTTGAAGTGACAGGTATGTAGGAAAAGCGTAAATGGGCAATGTAGTATGTGCAAACATCAAGAGATGATTTCATTAAAGGCTAATAAATTTACCAATTACTAAATGAATCAATGTAGTCAATCAGGCAATATCAGAGCATTTATATCGTTTTCACTTATACAACTGAGCACCCTATAATGACTGAGTAAATCACAACCCCTTTAATCATTGTAGGAATGACTATCATGAGAGCATCATCCTCCTATAAAGCACTGCGATTGTTGAATGAATATGACTGTATTATTTGTCTTCTATTATTCCGAAAAATTTTCCTGTTCTTAAACATGAATAATCTTTATTTTAAATTTCCAAAATACAAATAATTGTTGCCGAAGAAAAAACCAGACTGAAGAAATGTAAGCTATACATCAGCAAGAGACCATAGGGAAAAATGTTTGAAGATGGCATAAAAAATGGCGAAAATGCATTTTTAAAAGTAACGTCAAACAAATACCTTAGGCCTTCTAATGATACAAAATCATGAAATTTACCATTTACACAAATTCAATAAAATAACTAATTGTATATAATCAGATTGGAAAATATGGAATCAATTCTACAGGTACAAAACACAATGTTTGCCTTCAAGCGCTTGTCTGCCCAGAGCAAACAAGAGGCTTAGACGAGGCAAGAGTATGCATAGCCATACCTCGGCTGTTGGAAGAAGTTTTACTTTGGTCACCATAGTCTTCACAACAAGGCAGGCTCCGTTTCCATGCTGCAACTGCATCCTTCTTCAAGAGGCAGTAGAAGATGAAGATGAACAAACCCTGTTCAGAAATGAGAACAAAAATATTGATGCCGTGTAGTCAAAATTGATGGTAGGTTAAGTGTTTTACTGCACTCGCAACTGTATAAGGTCACAGGAGCATGCAGAACATGTTAAACTTTTTTCAGTTGATAAGAAATTTTGAATTTTGCCCGGGTGGCGGCTGAAGCCTACTCTTATCGATTTTAGACCTCCAAAGGTTCTTTAACCAGTGCCACTTGCACACGGGACCTCCGAGATTTTCCGCCCTTGTCTGAGAAGGCTAGGTGTAGATCTTTCCTACCAGAAGATCAGCGGTGTGGCTGAAAAACAGCAGTAAGAAGGAGCTAAGGAGTAGCAGAAGAAAGGCTGCAGAAAGATTCAGGAGCCCTGAGTAGGGGGTAAGGGAAGAAAGTGGAGATGAAAGCAGACAACAGAACATTGCTAGAGAGCAGGAACGGAGGTGAAAGGAGAAAATTTTAGAGAAGAAAATGTTTTGGTCACTACCTGGATTCGAACCCGGGACCTTTGAATGAAAGGCAAACACCTTAACCTCTAGGCCACGAGAGCTCCCTAGTCAAAACTGATGAAGTAATAAAAGTGGTAAGAGTGGTAAGAGTGGTAAAAGATGAAAAGCATAGCCCTCCCCCCTCCTACTTTTAACAGCTTCACCTACAGTGCAACATCCAAGATGAGGTCATCATGGGAGTCACTGATAGATTACCGCTATGTCTTGTTTGTTTGTTTTAGTTAGGTTTTAAGGCACTCGCAACTGCATAAGGTCATATGAGCGCCAAGGGGTGGATGTCAACAGAGAAGTCCAAACGGGGAATCAGGCTTACTCTGCTCACCTCTCTAGCCTCAACAGCACAAAGTCTGCTTCAACTATCAATGCACCCTGGAAATAGCAGTTCACAAGAGAGTGACAAACGTAAAAAAAAAGAGGGGGAAAAATGATGATAGTAAAGATGAGGAAAAAAAAAAGCAGCAGTTCCCAGTTCCTGCACAGTATGAGCATGACATTAATAAATCAGCCCATTTACAATTCTACTGTGCATAAGAATTTGTTAATATCCCCCCTGAATGGCCTAAAGGCACTTCAGTCAGTAGCACAGCCCTGTGGGGGCCTGCTATGTCTCTCTGGTAGAAGAAACAGCAAGTTGTGATCCCCATGATGGGCAAAGACGTGAAGGTTTAAACTTTATTTTTTTTACCCAGAAGACGGTGGAAACATTAAAGTTCAGTAGCAGAAAAGATGTATAACCATCAAACTCACTAGAAGATTCTTGATTTCATTGTTCATAGGAATAAAAACTAATTCTACAAAAGATAATGGATATCTTTAACTCGTTATCTCCGGAAAGCCGCTCCCAGCGGGTCGTGGTGGGAACTGCTGTGCCGGTGAGCCGCTGACAGCGGCTCGAGTACATAGCTTTACGATGACTTCGACATCAAATTACTGTTCGGCAATTGCCGAAAACAGGTGTCTTTTACCGGAAGTTCATTCATTAGATGAAGTACTATTATTATAGGTTCGCTGGGTTTGACTTAATGACCCATAGTGGTGTTTTCGTCATTTTTTGAATTAGTACCAAAAAAGGGCCCCGTCGCAGTGGATAAAGAATTAGTGAACTTGTAAATCTTTTTCTTGTATTGAGATCCTGGATGTTGGTCTTTTCTCTATATGGACTACAACCACCAAAATAGTAAGATATATCCTACCTGAAGACATCCGCCCAACCATTGAAACTGTCATTTAGCACGATAGATCAGAGGTTAGAAAATTTGTCTGGTTTTCTACATTCTAAAACACAAGGTGAATCAAAATTTTTAACCAAAATATACACAGTTGTGACACAGGAGCATATTATCAGGAATGCACAAGAAAAGAACACAAATAATTCATCCACCATCATAAACCTCATATACTTCTAGCCAAAAATTACACAGTTCAAGTATGGTATTGCAATGTTAAATTTCATAACAAAGTGATCTTTCTGAAACAAATATTTTAATCCGATATTCTCCTTTGTGGTTATAATTCAAAGGATGTTTATTACACTCCTAGCATTCTCAACCTGTATAAACAACAGTGAATCTTTATTTTTAACTATTGGACGACAGAACGATGTTTATGTTAATGAGAAATGTTATTGTGGCTACAGTATACCTACCTGTAAAGAATTGAAAATGGCAAACAGGTAGTAAAACACAACACTAGCTCGGTCGATGGCGAAGATGGCAAAAATCCACGTCAGACCCAAAAGGATGACCACTCCAATAGCACCTCTGAGACGTTGGACAGTGCTGTAAAAAGAAAAGTAGGAAAGTTTTAAGGCAACAATATTATGTCTGTGCTTTTCTCTATTAACATTAAGCATACTTATCAACAATACTCTCAATTATAATTTAAAACTGAGAATGACCGAATGCTAAAGAAATTAATTTTATTCAACATTATACTTTGGTATACAGTATCTACTGACTCTGAAAAGTGAAAAATTGACCGCACATGGGAATAAAGCCAATAAATGAATTGCTCTTTCCCATTTGAAATTTAAAATAATAAAGTGTGATTACATAGCCTTACATTTTTTTGCATTTTGCTGCATCCTATACATAACCTTGATCACACAGCACACAACTCCAGAGTACTGTAATCCCATTTGTTCGCCAGCATTAGATGCTAATTTAAAAACTTGATCTACCACATCTAAGTGGCTGAACTATCTTCCGCATATTTCTTGGAAAGTTTTCTCTCAGCCCACTATCCACATTTGAAACAAACTACACTGTCTCAAAGAAGATCAAAACAATGACAATGACAACAACAAAAGATATTGATTCTCCAAACTGCTAAGCACACCTGACACCTTTTTTTTTTACCTGTTTCTGTCTGTTTTATTTAACTTTGAGCTGGATCTCAGCTGCCTTATGACCAGGGCGAATGCAGCACAGTTCAGCAGTAAAATCAGGCATACTGGGCCCACAAAAGCTGCATAGAAAGCTGGATTTCGAAGCCAGCACCTGAAACATTATAGGAATATTCATACTTTCATCATAATTGCACTACAATTAGAGATCATATCAATAGAGATCATATCACAAAATACAACATACTCCTGGATTGCCTGTGTTCACTACAATAAAAGAATTATTACGAGTCAGTTATAACCAAATTTTCACTGAGCCTTCACAAATCATTCCCAATATCAAATGAATTAGTCAAAATTTGTTTTTCAACTGTTCAAGAGTACTTTCTTCAAGAAACACTCACAATACAATCTATCTGATTTCTTAGACACCTTTATCACCTGAGAAAACAACATTTTTATTTGTTAACGTAAACCAAAACCCAAATGAAATTTTTTGAAAGGTTAAAAAGATTTTTTAAAATAATAGCCACTTTTAGTCACGACCAAAACAGTCTAAGGCAAAAAAAAAATATAATGAAAAAAACTAGAAGGAATAAACCTTTGGTGAGTTTTAGTTTTAGTAGAGTTTTACGGTACTTGCAACACAATAAGGTCATATAAGTGCAGAAGATAAGAGGTGTTACAAGAGAGTAACAAACACAAAAAAGGAGAAGAAATAAGGACGATAGATGGTTGATAGGAAAGAAGGAGCAAACCACACCAGAGCACCCGCCAACCACCCACCCTTTGGTGAGTGAAAACTCCTGAGGTTCCACTAACCCCTGAGTTTTTCCCATCCAAAGAACCCACCAAACATCCATTCTTACATCTGTGGCCAACAGAATGGGAGAAGAGCAACATTGCACTCATACGACTTTATGAAATTGCAAACACTGTAAAACACTTACCCCCCAAAAAATGAAAAAAAGGAAAGAAAAGCAACACTAATGACGAAACAAAACCTCACAGGCATTAAACAAGACCAAGTATTGAAATGAAGCATAGAATAGAAAAAAAATGTAATCTTTGAGCAACTCACAGTCCAGTGTTAACAAAGCCATAGTTGTTGGTCTTGTCGATGCCCAGCGTGATAGCAACCACCACTAAGGGAATACCTGAAATTGAAGAAAAACCCACAAAATCATGTCATATAATTTGTTTGTTTGTTTGTTTGCGTAAAGAGAAGCACATCGACAAAATAATGGTCATTAAATGCTGAGAAAAAGTAAGGCAGAGAGGCAGAGAGGCAGAGACAACAGATGGAAAATAAAATAACCCCCTCCCCCCCCCCCCCCCCCACTAAAATTCCTTTCACTTTTACTGTATCTCAGCTTTAAAAAGCAATGAACAAGACAATAAGAGGCCAGATCTGTACTGAGGTGATGACAGACATAATAGGAAAAGCACCAGTCCTCTGTTTTATCGAATGATAGTGAGTAACCATCAGAAGTGCTCTCCGACCAATCAGCATTGTGAGCCTACAACACTCTGGCTGGAGAAACAGAGGGACACCTTGACATCACTGGATTGATTCTGTGAAGGACAGAGCTCAGGACCAGACCTTCCTGTTTTAGTGAGAGCTTTACGGCACTTGCAACACAATAAGGTCATATAAGTGCTGAAGATTAGAGGTGTTACAAGAGAGTAACAAACACAAAAAAGAAGGAGTGGTGATAAGGATGATAGATCTTTAACAAGAAGGAACGAATAAAGAACAAGCCACACCAGAACACCCGCCAACCGCCCACAAGCCTCTTCCAAGCCACTAGACTCAGAGCTGACAGATAGTTGGTTCTCCTTGCAACACCCGTCAGTACACGTGGAAAGAACAAGTAAAGTAAAAATAAGAGAAAGGCCTCAGTGTTTTACATCAACATCAACAAAATATTGATTATTTTATTCGGCAGATGGCTTTAACCTTCATGTCCATGAAAATCGGTGCTGAATAAGATACATCCCAGCAGAAATAAATGAGAAACTTTGTGAAAGTTTTCCTTTTTGGGAATTGAACATATGTCTTTGGAAGTTCAAGGCTAAGACCACTGCTTTTACACCACATAACATCAGTTTACCATGCATTATTAACAGAGAAGGAATAACAGACCATCGTTTCTCAAATCTATCCTTTTGATCTGAATTTCTTCAGCAAGGCAAAATAGAAACTTGAAAAACAATTTTTTAAAATTTTCTGCAAGCGTTAAACACCTAATTTCCACAGACAATATTACAATCAATAGTAATCAATATGTTTCTCTTTCCATAACAACACCAAATGCAGCTTTACTAAGCAACACTGAAAAACGCCATTAACAATTCTAAAATATGATTTCTCTGACATGGTTTAACCATTTATGAGGAATATTTTTGCAATGTTTTTTTAGTTTAGTAGAGGTTTTACAACACTCGCAACAGCATAAGGTCATATGAGCGCCAGAAGATTAGAGGTGTTACAAGAGAGTAACAAACACAAAAAAGAAGGAGGGGAGATAAAGACGATAGATGTTTGATAGGAAAGAAGAAGCAAACCACACCAGAGCACCCGCCAACCACCCACTTTGCAATGTTTGAGTCACAGAGGAGCACATCTACAAATTAAAACTCAGCATCACGAAAAGCAAGAGAGATGGACAAAAACATCAGTGGGATAAGTGGCAGGCCCTGACTCTCCACGCCTGCAATATGACTTACCCCAGCCCACTAGGGCACACTTGAGGATAAACCTGGTGAAGTAAGTCTTGAACACCAGCACCAAAGCTAGGTACATGTAAAACGCTTCCACAGCCATCCATGTCAAAGAAGACAATAGGAAGTAGTGCAGTAAAACAGCAACAATCTACAGAGAAAAAAAACAAAAAAGCATGTTAAAAAAGAAAACAACCAACATATTATTGCCAAAAGAAACAATGCTATAATAGAATGAGGTAATAACATAATTTCTTAAGTGATCTTGTAAAGAAAATTTGAATTTGAAGTTTATATACTAGAAAGTTACTTTCACTTGGGTTCAAAATTAATCAACAACATGCATAAAGCCATTTCATTTAAACAACCATGGTTGAAAATTATTATCTGTAAAGATTGTCCATATTCGATTAAATATTAAACAGATAATAATACCTCTTTTTCTGCAGTACATATCCATGCTCTACAGCATACTTGATACACTTTACAATTATTATTAGCCTATTTCAGCAGACCCAAGAAAACTCAGAAACATTCTAAGCTTCATGAGTTGCATACAGCGCAAGCTGTGGATTGCACACACTCGAACACAAACAAACTGACAAGATCTTTCGCCGTTTATTGCCGGGTACCCATTCTCCCCTGCGTGAAGTGAGGATAATTTGTGTAAAAAAGGGCCTTCCCCAAAGACACAAGGTAGGATTCCTTATTGGATTCAAACCACGACCTTACAATAGCGAGTCTGAGGGCCTAACCACTAGGCCACCAACACCACCATGTACTGATACTGATCAAGTCTGTTGATGCCACAAATGTAAAGGCCAAAACTCCAACTCACAAGGCCAAGTCAAAAAGACATGTATATATATGGAAATACAAGAAGTCCCCAAAGACACCCTGAGTTTGGATCATTTAGAATGTGGGATACAACAAATATTTACACACCCCAACAAAAAGACATTCTTCAATAACATACCTTTCCCTTGTGGGAATCCAACTCTCAACCTCTGCTGGCAAAGCGAAGAGCCTAACCATTAGCCCTGCCATGCTGCCCTCCCTCCCCCACCCTTCCCCAAGCAAATAAGACCTTAAAGTCTTAACAGCATTCAGATAAAATTCATAATACTTTGTCAGTAGTAGTACAGGGTTTTACGGCGCTCGCCACTGCGTAAGGTCATATGAGCGCGCGAAACACAAGTTGGTAGCTTTCGCAACAGTTCACTGCACGGTTTGTCGACAATTAGACTTTAAAATGTTAAAATACTAAAATTCAGTGTAAATATATTTGCGATTTAAAATAACTCTTATAAATAACAATAAAAATAATTAAATAATACTTTGTCAAACTACCTTGGGCCATTCCCGAAGGCAGGATATTAACATGTTCTTATGAACAGGCAGAATTGTAAATGGACTCATTTATCAATTTCATGCTCATACTGTGCCAGAACATTATAGGGGGAACTGCTGCTTTTTCTTTCCTCATCCTTACTATCGTCTCTTTTCCTCTGCTTCTTTAGTATGTTCATCACTCTCTTATGAACTGCTATTTCCGGGGTGCCTTGATTGTCGAAGCAGACTTTGTGCTGTTGAGGCTAGAGAGCAGAGTAAGCCTGATGCCCTGTTTCGACTTCTCTGTTCACAACCACCCCTTGGCGCTCATATGACCTTATGCAGTTGCGAGCGCCGTAAAACCTTACTTAAAAAAAAACAAAAAACAAAGAAAACTACCTTGCAAGCAATTTCACTGTCGAATGTGTAGTCCTGCATGCCCACCAGGAAAACAAGGTTAGAGAAGAGCAGTGCCAGACACAGGTTCACCAAAATTTTGGATGGGTTGTCACGTCTCAGTTTTCTGAAAGCAGAAAAAAAAAATTAAACAAATTTAAAGTCTGTATTCAGAAGGGGGTATGTTTTCTAAAACATGAGAAACAAAATTAAATGTTCGACTAAATGCGATAAAAATAGAAAATCATAGCTCTGTTTTTTCATAGGTGAAGTCAAAAGGGGAATGTTGAACAATTAAGGGCTCAATGTGAACACAAGAGAGGGCATCCTCACTTGAAATCACATGTCAATTCAGTGAAATGGGAAAAGGGTGGTGGAGGAGAGGGGACAAAAGAGTAGAAATAAATTAATTACTTTGACCTATAATAGAAAACCTACAAAGCTTTAAACAAAAGTCTGATTTTGATAAAATGATAAAACTGTCACTGTGGAACAAAAAGTTATGACTCATACAGGAACATCTACTTTCCAATTAATCATCCATTAATCAGTCATTGGGCCTTTCAAGTAATCAATACATAGGTCTATCAATGCACTAGAGATTCTTTCTATCTCTTGGGCTTAATATGGTGGACATCATGTGAACTCAGGAGAACATTAAGGCAAAGTTTCTTGTACCCATCAACACAACTTTTTTATCATTTAGGGGGCGAGCCGCCCCAACCTTGCATGTCAGGGCCAACCTGCAACATGAAGCTTCCTTGCACAGACAAGAATTATAAAATACACTTCACCATGCAGGAATCCAACTCACACATTTTCCAAGAAAGGCGAAGAGCCTACCCCTAATGTTTACACCACAGATGCTGGTATTCAGGAATACAACAGCCACAAACCGTTTAAAGTTTAACTGAACTCTTTGGGTGGTACAGGACAGGGGCCTGCCAGTTCTATCTCACTGTTATTGGAAGCCCTAAAAGGTATTTAAATTGTTTTATCAAGATTAATTATTGTGATCTAATTATAACAATTGAATCAAATGTGTTGTGTGAAAAAACAGAAACTTTTAAACCAAAGTCATTGCAGAAAAATAGCAGTTTTAAAAAAAAGTGTGTTTATATACAATGACTAATCCAAGAGAACCTGAAACAAAGTCTTTTAGATATTTATTTGGTACAAGTTTAAAGGAAAATTACTTGAGTCAAAAGTCATTACTTGAAGGCAAAATGTTCGGCCCAGCAGGAAAACTCCCCAAAAACAATGAACAAAAGCAATCAAAAGTTTGAATGAATATTATTGTACTGAATTGATCTGTTGTTCATGAACATTGCCAGAGATCTTTCAGCAAAATTCTTTCTTTTTCCTTTTCTTTTCCTGGTTGTAGTTTCCACCCCCCTCCCTCACACATAAAAAGTAAACCAAATGGGCATGAGGAGTAAATTAATTTCCAAGTGTACAATCTTCATATTAAAGCACAGTTTGTTGCAAATATGTCACTTTTAAAAGAGAGACAAACACTCAAATTTCTTAATAAAGCTTACTGAAAAAAGATCAAACAGCACAAAGTTCCCGATAGAGGACTGTATTGAAAGGGATCAGGAAATCATTTGCCTATCCTAAATGTAAAAACTTTTAAGCAAAAAAACTTATTGGAAAAAATAATATTTTTGGCAAAGCAGAAGAGAGGGGAAAAAACATTTAAAAAGCTGAAAAATGCGAAATTGAGAGAAGAAAAAGAACAACAAATAAAGTAAACCAGCAGAAATTTCCTATTATTTTTATAAAGAAAATCATTTTAAAAGAAAACATAGAGGCAACTGATTTCAGGAATCAGCACCGGGCACTTATCTTATTTTGCATATAGTTAACCTTTAACCCATTTTCAAAAAAATATGAAATGGTTAAAATATCTTATTTTTACATTTCATATTTGAAGCAAACAAAAATCAAGCTAGAGTGCTGAATGCAAGAGCTATAGGTGAAAATTTATGTACTTGAAAATATCATAAACAAACTTTACTAGGGTATCAGCTTTTACAACATTCACCAGATCAATTAACTACCGGTACATGCCAACTCCAGGATGTAATTCAATATGATGACAGCCAACATTCTTCAAAACACCACCATACATGTTAAGATTTAGCCTTTTTTTTCGATAGCAAAATATTTTTAGGATGTTGTTCTAGTAAATCCCTACTTCATAGGATATTTTTCTGTTTTTGAAATTTCGTGCAGAGAGCTCAGAGTTTATAGACCAGCATTACAGAAAAAAGAGGAATGTAACATATTTTGGTGAAAGCTGAATTTCATCAAGAGAGAATTTTTTTAATGGAGAGATGGAAGCATAAATGAAAAGAAGCAGTAAGATAAATTCTCATTTTGAAATCAAAGTTTTCACCCCAACTTACCCCACCTCCTCCCTTCATTTTCTCCATTCAAGAACAAATAGACAAACAAAATAAAATATAACAAAACAAAGAAACCAAAACAAGTACATTATATAGGCCCTAGTTGAATTAATATAATTTTTTTCCATATCATTTAATGATTAAATGCTCCAGCAATCAAATAAGACAATCTACGGATCTGCAATTTAACGATTCTTTGAGAACAAAAATTTGACCTATGCTACTTCTACTCATTAGACAGCACTATCATTCTTTACCAACCAGAAATATTATACATCTATAGCTGTTGTTCACTTAGCACCCCTATGCCTCTTTCCCTGTAGGCCAGGGAAAAGTTATTTGACAAAACAGAAAGAGTGGATAGACCTGTACCAAAGATTCTCTACTACCTAATAGAGAATCTTTGCTTGTTCCTGATCATGTAAACATTAAAAAAAGCATAGTTCATCCTCCTTGAAAACTTGCACCTTGTCACATTAGTCACAACAGTAATAAAACCTCTGACACTGTTATTTTTGTATGTAAATGTTAGTGATCACCACCACTTCGATCCACACAGAACTACCAGTTCTGTTTGCCGCTGCCATGGTTACGAGACCGACATATTCATGCAGTGGCACCACACCACATGGAACAACACTTTCAAAGCAAACAGAATTTTAGAAAAAGATGTGAAAGTTGTCGAGAGACATCTCCAAACAAATAACGAGACTTTTTTCAAATTCCAGAATGAAATCCTTCTCAGTAATCTCCAGCAGTACCAGTAATCTCCAGCAGTACGTCATCATCACCAGGTTGTTTCTATGTACTAAGCAAACAATTTTGTCATTCATTTTTTAAATAGCAGCTTCTTATACTGTGATATCAACTGCGTGTGCTTGAGAAAATTTTTATTGAAATACAAATTTAATATGTTGAAAAAAAAAAAGCAAGAAAAGATACATGGAGAATGTGCAGTAAAAAAACAACTCCAAGAAACATTTAGGTTTTTTTTCTATCCTGAAAAATTTTGCTTTCCGGGTTTACAACAGTTAGACGACTTTGCCAGGATATACATGTTTGTCTACATTTCCGGAGTTTTTGAGTGCAACCTTCAGATGCAACTTTTTGATTATATAAATGCCATAATTTCTATCACAATGAACTCTCTTGGCATCGGTCACCTCAGTGGCAACAATGTAAAACTCATAAAAGCTAAATCAGCTTACTCTACAAGAACTTTTTTCAATAACATCTAAGAAAGCAGTTGTACTCATCTGCGACACTGGACAATAAAACAGGCTTAGAAAAACTTTTGGGAGCAAAGTCCCAATATCCTGAAGTGAAAGGACCATGAACAAATAGACAGTGGATTGCGTTTTTCTACACAACAAGTTACAAAGCAGAACCAGTGAGCCAAAAACTGTAGCTAGTAAAAAAAACACAAAAAAAACATGGTTAATAAAACATGAACTTTCATATTCAATAGAAGGATAATCAAGGCTGACGTCCTTTTGAGCTAAATTCCTTCACACTGTTAGTACCTGCCTCCAATTGTTCTTTTGTAACGAGGAATACAAACTAAAAAAACCAACAACACTCTTGCATGAGCAAAATGTGCACCATTATTGTATGATTAAAGCTGTCAGTGGAAGGAAAAAAGTCTCAGTGTACAAGAAATACCTACTCAAATTAAACTAGATTCACTCTACCTTTACAAGTATATAATGCACATTGTACACCTATTCTAGCAAAGCTATATTTGAAAGGACTGAAAAGAAAAGTTCAGTGTTTCTAAGAATTGACATAAAAAAACGTACGTGTATGTACAGTCTGGGATTTGTGTAAGGCGGGTATTGATGAAAAAAAGTCAACACAAACGGAAGAAAGTAAAATAACAAGGGAAGCATGCAGAGTTTGGTACCTCGTCGTCAACGTCTGGTCAGATAAATTGTAACGTGTCCCTTGGCTTTATGAAGTAAAAACAATGAGTAACAAAGCAAAGAATGAGTATGGACAAATTCTTTTTTTCATGCAAAATCTTAAATGAGGGAAATAGCTGCATACTAAAAATCTATAAACTGCAGACCACATAAAACAATCGATCTCACTGAAAGAGAATAATATCTAGTTGAATGTAACTCTGTGTATGATCAGCATAACTTAAAACAGCAGATAAAACAGAGCATATCTTGATAAACCCAGTTTAAGTAGAAACTGCTCAAAGTTTCTCTCACATAAAATAATTATTCCACCACAAGTGTATGTGAAAGACATTTTTAAAGAGAGTGGTGTTGGTATATGAAAAAAGAAAAGTCAAAATACATCAGAAAATAAGAATGCTGGTAGCTTACTAGATACAAAGGCAGACAAAAAAGAATTCATACAGAAAATGGAATTTTGAAGGTATGGTCAGACAGTAGACATCAGAGAAAATGTTGCACATAGAATCGAAAAGTGTGTCAGTGAAGGATTATTTGGTCGTTTTTAAGCACAAACAGGGTATACCGAAAAATGCCGTTTTGAGAAAACCGAAGATAAAGTTTTTACCCCTTGCTCAGTTTCTTTAAAAGACAAGGAGAGTTTTCTTTATAACCAAACAATTATACACACAAATGAAACCAAACTTCTTTTAAAGGTAGACCAATGCCCACCTTTGGTGTAGGTCAAGATTTCTGGAAACCCCCGAAATCTGGGTTAGCCCGTTTGTCCTTAAAAACGACCATTTGTAAGTAAGAGTTCGTTCAGTTCTTAGACATTTACAAGTTGCTTTTAAGAAATCACTTCCTAAGAACTCGTCAGATCGGTACTCACTTGAACATGCTGTAGGTTATAAGGGTTAACAACAGGGCAAACAGCGACACTCCACAGCCTATGTAGGAGATGATGGATAGAACTTTTTTGTCCAGATCACTGAGGTTGGAACCCTCTTGGTAAACATCCTGAAAAACGAAAGGAATTAGACATGTTATAGTGATTGAAATGACAAAAAATGTTACATGGTTACTGTTTTACAGTGCTCGCAACTGCTTGATTAAGGTCATAGGAGCGCACAGGACACATTTTGAGCATTTTTAGTTTGGTAGGAATTAATTTTGAATGTTGCCCGGGTGGCGGCCAAAGCCTACTCTTATCGATTTTGGACCACCAAGACATCTTTAATGTGCACAACTTGCACACGTGACCTTTGAAATTTTTTGCCCTTATCCGAGAAGGCTTGGTGTCAGCTCTAAGATCATGGAAGTGGCTAAAAGACAGCAGTAAGAAGGAGCCAAGGAGTAGCAGTAGAAAGGTTGCAGAAAGAGTCAGACGCCTGGAGGAGGGGGCAAAGGGAGGAGGAGGTGGGGTCTATGACTCTGCAGCATAAAGCAAGAAAGATACAACTTAATAAAACAAACTGGGAATTGAACACACTTCTTTTGTGCTCAACAGTGGTGAACCTAATCATTAAAACACTAATCATAAAGTGAGACAGCAAGAAGCCTTTATGAACAATACTAATAAAATCCATGGCTCAATAAAGATACTCCACAAAAAGATGAATTAAGACAGTTAAAGCAAGAAGAGCTTGTTATAGATTTATAGAAAGAAACAAAGATGATTATTTTTTACTTCTGTATAAGATTCATAACTGAAAATGAAGCTCAGTATTTTAAAAAGTTATATGAAAGTGAAAAATGTTACCATGAGCAAGGCAAAGTTAGTAAGGTGATTGCAGCTACACATAGTGTGGCCATCCGTTGCCTCGACAACGCTACAGCCTTCGTCGGACCAGCCTCCACCATCTTCAGTAAGGTCCTCATCCCAGAACACACACCGAGGATTTGTCGCATTCTGTCAAGGATATTCCGCAGAAGATTTGTATTTATCAGACAAAAAAAGATTATTTATTTAACGACACTCGAACAGAAAGACTGAGATCAGACTTTCAGCCCATCATATATTCTTTAGGATTATTTTTTAAAGTTTAACTAGAGGTTTAATTTTAACATACTCACTCTCTCTCTCCTCTCTCTCTTTCTCTCTCTTCCTTTCCCTCCCCACCTCCCAAGTTTCCCTCCTCCTCCCCTTCTTAAGTGGAATGACTTGACTCACAGTAGTACCTGTTTAAAAGTTGCGAATATGTGGAATGATCTCATAAAAAACACGACCATAACGTCTAGATTGCAACTGATCATATTTTCTGACAGAGATATTTAAGTAAAGAGTAGATGTCTATAATTAACTTTTTCTTACCTCAGCATTGTGTTCAAAAGTCAAAGTGACATTCTCCGGCAGAGATAAAGACTTGACCCCAGGTATGCTGGCAGAGACCACTTGACTGTTGACCTTCTCAATATATGTGATTGTCTCCTTTTCACCCGCCGCGTTCACAGATGCCACAGTTTTAGTAGTTCCTTCATTTTTGCCATCTATTGACTAAACCACAGGAAAAAAAAATCCAAGATAAAATACACATTTTAAAAATAAATCTAACGACATTCAGAATAGTAAAAAAATCCTGGAAACCTTGTCAACATTTTTATAATAATCAATTACTGTTTGTATAGTGAAAGAAAGAATCTTTGAAAAGATGTAAAGTATGAAATCTACAAGTTTACGAGTATACATGTGCATGGATGCATGTGTGAGTGACCATAAATAATAATGCGTTAGTCGGACAGAGAGGCATTTTTAAGTCTTAACTTTAGTCCATCTTGGTGATAAAGCCAGCTACGCAGAGGCTTCGAGTCCTTTTTACTGCATTGTGGTCAAAGTCAAGGTAATTTTTAGACAAATTTTAAAAAACAAACAAAATTTTCAACATCTCGCAAAAATCCACACTGAAGAAATAAACAAATACATGTTAAGTCCTTTGCATGAAATACAGAGAAAAAAGATCAGATTCAGATTTTTAAAAAGCCATGTCAAATCAAATTACAGTATTTGAAGGAAGAAAGAGAATATATCATAGACTACAAGATAACAAAGAATGTTTTATTGCAAGTTTAGAAGTCATGGAGTGACATGAACTAGCTATAGAATTCTTACAAGTGTGGTGGAGGGGGTGGCAACTAGTCTAACAGGGATACATAATAAAATATATGTGTCACGACGCGGCGGAATCAAGCGCTCGTCAATTTTTGGGCATGTAGAGTTATTGGTGTAATCTGAAAGCTGATTTATTTGCCTTGCTTCACATGAAATAAATACCCATCTATTTTGACTAAAACTCAAGATATTTGCAATTGAAGGATGTAAGGTTGCCTTGTTTCAGTTATGAAGTCAGCGAGAAAATGGCCGCCAAAGTTTGGTAAATGCAATAGCTAAAGAGTCCTTGAAAACTGAAAAATTACATATTTTGCGCCTTTAATAAATGTGTCTCAGTAAAATTCACTAGGAAATATGTTTTTATATGGCATAAAAGAAATTGAGCCAAAAAATAAAAATTCGATAAAAATTTCTAAACTAATGCCTAAAAAATGCCAGTTTGTCCCATTCCTGTGTTTTGACAAGCGGCTGATTTCATATATTTTCAATCTAAAACAAAGTTTAGTTTAGTTAGTGTTTTACAGCGCTCACAGCTGCATAAGGTCACTTGAGCACCCACATAAGGTCTAGGTGGAGCAAGGTACAGCAACCCTGGGTAAAAAAAACAACCCCAGGATGCTGCACAGTTGTGACCGCCAATGGCATGTTTGTGAAATTGTTCTATATTGGAGTAAAATTGTATATTTATCATATTATGTATGTAATTATGTAATAAGTATTTATGTATGTCGTACGTATTTATAATTATGTATTTATTTTATGTATGCATGTTTTCCATTGTAACAAAAATTTCCCCTCAAGGGGATCAATAAAAAGGTTATGTATCATTATATCTATTTTGCTATACATAGTGACATAAACGCCAGAGGTAATACTCACAGCAAAGAGCTTTTCCGATTTGTGAGCAGCAAATGCCACCCGTTCCACGTTTCCTTGTTGAGACAGAACTTTCTCAGTGGGGAAAACAATCTGGGCTCCTTCCTCATCTATGACTGCATTACCAGTAGGGCTTACAAATTTTACATCAACCTGTCACACAAAAAAACAAGAATAAAATTCCATTGCAACATGAAAAATGAAGAGGATATTATTATATTTAATCAGATATAAAAGGTAGTAAAACAAGGGTTATTGCTCAACAGTTTTCTCATTTTGTACACTTTGAACAGAACTAAGTCAGCATTCACGGACTTCTAACACCAGGTCAGATTTTACACAGATAGGCCTAAACACTATAAAATCATGTAAACTCAGATGTGAAGTCCCTTAAGTAAAGATTATTAATGATTGTAGAGTGATGACAACCCCATTGATCTGTCCCCGTCATTTTTTGCAAGAACAATTCTGAAATTATGCAAACTGAGCCCAAAAATGTCATTTTGTTAATTTTTACAAAGAATGATAAAGGAAAATAATCAGAAATTAACCAAAAAATAATCAAATTTTGCTAAATTATGTGGGGTGCATAAAACCACGGGGACAGATTGATACAATTCTACATCATTTAGAAGGTGGGCTTCTTTGACCCCCACCAGCCTGTCAGGTCCAACCTGGGCTGAGAAAGATCCGAGAGCCGCAAAATGCGGCTCGAGTGGCTCGCTATATCTATTCCATTCTAATAATGAAATTCACGGCTGATCCAAGTTTTCAAAATAATAGAATAGACTTCCTGCTAGCAGATACAAAAGAAAATATAGCACTGAGAGACGATTTTCAGTCATTTCAGCGCTTTTTTTGTCCCCTTCGAAACGTAGAAAAGCGCTCCCCTGACTTCAGTATATCTCTCCTATTTTCCCTTCTCTATTAGGTACATATACATAACTTTCAGCATTTCTTTGCATTACATGAGGCAACGTACCTGGGAAGTGTGAATGATGCTGTTGTTGTACTTTTATAGATATGACCTTTTAAAGCTGGAAAATTGTTGATTTCATATAACACTTTCGATATTGCATAATCACTTTTAGAAACCCCAAATTAATATACCCCTGTAATTGGAATAAATCTTCAATATTGTATCTCCATCTGATAGATTATTTCTTAACCTTCAGTTTGATGGGCCATATGATATGGTTTAAGAGTGCTTAGTTGGATGTTTTGACATTTTCCTGTGGTGGGGTAGGGGTGTACAAATAGGCCAGGGAAAAGCCCTGAGCCAGTGGTGGATTTTGGCCTGGTTTCAGATAAAAATCCCACTGCAAGCAAAACGGCAAAATGAACAAAACAAATATAATAAACTTTCCTCTAAAATGGAGGAGGAATGGGGGACCAAACTAATCCTCTTTGTGCTACTTCAAAAAACCTAAAATGCAGAGAAAATGAGATAAAAGCACAAATCTGAATCTTTATAAAATTACTACAAAATGAAGATCTATGCAGCCTACAAAATATGAAAACAAGACACATACATCATTTGATTTCAGGTCATCCCCCGATTTGGCTCCCGTTGAGAATAGAAGGCTCCGACGCTCCTGTCTATTTACACCTTGAGCAGCCACTGCCAGATTTGAGGATACAATCTTCAGCTTTCCGTTACTTAGTGGAGCCTTTTCTCCAACCTTGTCAATGACGCCAAGAAGTCTGCACCAGATATATATGAATTGATTCAAGCATTATGTCTAGAATGCTGGAAAAACTACAATAGTACCTTGCAAGTCAGGATAAATGAACAATTCATCGAGTGAAGATTGAAATAAGAAAGGCTGTTTTATTAATTTACATGCCGTCTTCACAAACAAAACCAGAGTAAAAATATCAAAAGTGATAACAAATCATTAATCACAACAAGCACATTAGAAGATTATTCATATTTGTCTAATGTAACTATATTTATACGTCATTCAAAGACCCACTCCTGATAATTTCTACAGACCGTATTCTCCTGCTCCTAAAAAAGAAAACAAAACTATAATCTACTCTTAAATCATATTGCAACTTCGGCAAAGAGTTTTTGCGGCTCGAAAGAACTGAAATGCTTCCAAAAACTTGAAAAGTGGAACAAGAATAATAAACGATGTTTAAAATAATCAGTACCACGCTTATTTATTCAAAACCACAATAATGGCCATTTTAAAAGACTGAGCATAATCCCCTCACTCCCCCTTCGCAGAAAAAAAAGTTATCTTAGATTGCCCCAATAACGCACACTCTTGACAATCCTCCTGATAAGTAATATAAAAACTGTTACTGTATGTGCATTCAAAGTCAGGTTCATTTATTTATGTCAAGATCTTGAGGACACAAATCTCTCAAAATCATTTTTTAAAAACCACATCCTGCAAGATACAACAAATATTTAGTTTTAGTATGAGTTTTACAGCACTTGCAACACCATAAAGTTCTATAAATGCTGAAAATTAGATGATGACTTCATCTCAGTTACACCAAAGTAACAAATACAAAAAAATGAGGGGAGATAAGGACGATAGATCTCTGAAAGAAAGGAAAGAGCAAACCACACCAGACGAGCCCCCACTAGCCACCCACATATACAACAAATGAACGCCGAAAACCAAAACCATGCCTTTTTGAAGTAGACTTTTCCTTTTCAGCATTCTTCAGCTCATCTTCATCAGCAGAGATGAGAACATCCATTGTCTCAACCACATTGTTAGCGATGCCTGGCTGCACGATGACATCATCTCTGGTCAGTGATTCAAGAATGTTGACCACTTTGTTCATCTGTGCGGGCGAGAAGCTCTCGCGATCTTTAACAAAGTCTAGTAAGTCCTGAGAAACTGCGTCTGCAGTGCCTGTGAAAAGAAAAGGGAATGTGATATTGCTTGATGATGACGATAATAAAAACAGTAATAACGAAGAAGAAGAAGAAGGAAGAAGGAAGAAGGAAGGAGAAAGAGAAAGAGAAAGAGGAGGAGGAGGAGGAGGAGGAGGAGGAGGAGGAGGAGGAGGAGGAGGAGGAGAAGAAGAAGTAGAAGAAGAAGAAGAAGATATTTGTGATTGTGTGTGCGTGTGTATAAATACTGTGTGCATGTGTCTGAGTGGGTACATGTGTGTTTGTGTGTGCGTGTGTATAAATACTGTGTGCACGTGTCTGAGTGGGTACATGTGTGCCTGTGTCAGTGTGTGCATGTGTGTGCGCGCGCGTGTGCGTGTGCGTGTGTGTTTGTGTTACGTTTCCCCTTTCCCAAACCTTTTCTTGCTTTTCCTAAACATTACTGCCTTTTAACATCTCCACAAATTCTTACCCTGACCGAGATTACTTTCTTCTTTCAATACTTTGATTGTTACTTCATTTCTCTGGTTTTCATTATAGAACACATTTGAGCTTCTCCGTAAATTTAGAAGAAATAACTTTTCTTTCTTTCTTTAATTGCTGTCAAAAGAGCAAAAAACGGCAATCAAAACAGCATGGTCACAGGAACCCAGTAAGGAAAATGGTTGGGTAGGGAAAAGTTTATCGAAAATACTCCACAGATCTTCCTGTGAGTAAGCTGCCTATGTTTCCTATTTTTCCCTTCCAGTTACAGAAACTTACAAATTAATCTAACCTTTACAGCGCCATTCACATACATTTCCTTCATAAATTTTCATTCCCCACATCGTGTATATTTCCCTCACAGAGCACCACACACTTGAAACCAGATGCATATTTTTACTGTAATGTATCTAAAATTGCAGCGAAAATCAGTATCGGCTAGGTCCGAGGGGTCAAGTGCTCCAGTATGACCTGGGCCGGAAGGAAGCGAGGACGTAAAAATAGCCCGGTGCTGTTAGCGTTGATAAAGAAATAATGAAATCTGAGAAAATGACTGACCTTGAGTGATGGGCCTGTTTTCCAGGTCGTCAAGAGAGATGACAGTACTGGGAGCCTCTAGACATTGGGACTCGTCCGCAACCTGCCACACCCCGTCCTGGTTACTGTTGAACAAGCTGGACACCACAAAATAGCATCATGAGAAAAAAAGAGACGATGGAAGTGTATTAGAAAAGTTATGAAGTGCCCAAATAATCATTTATGGTTATTTGGCGCATGGCGTAATAATGCACAGGTGAAAATTATCCGTTCCGGTCACGGAGAAGTCCGTTGCAATCACTCTCCTGGCTGGGTGACCAGATGGAATATTTTGTACTGCTGGCTGTGTGACTGCAAAGTGTTAAAATTCAAGTTAAAGCTACAGTTTGTCATTTGGTACCACTTCTGACTGAAAGTACAAATGAATTAACTTGATTAAACATCTATGCCAGTCTGTTTTCATAGAAGATTTTCATCTCAACCTTCCTTCTGACATTTATTGTTCCAGTCTGTTTGGTGCACAAAAACTATCTTTACATATTTCTGTCCTTACCGCGGGTCAAGCAGGCCTGTCTTTTTGCAAGTGGGAGAACTGAAGAACAACTTTGTAAGTTTGGATACTGTAGTAAACACAAAATGAGGGGGAGGGAGGGATGAATCTGAGAGAGAAAGAGGGTGGGGGGGGGGGAGAGAGAGAGAGAGAGAGAGAGAGAGAGAGGGAGAGAGAGAGAAAGAGAGAGAGAGAGAGGAGAGTGCAGGAAGAAAGTAAAAGCACTCAGCAAGACCAGGGCAAGGTACCACGGTTTATATAACAGCACAAAAACAAAAACAAAACAGACTGTTTAAAACAAAAACAGACTGCCAACATCTCTGAAAAAACAAACAAGGCTCGCACCTCACATGCTGACAGATCACCTAGGCCACCTGGTGGTGGAAAATAATTAGGAATGTTATGCTTCATCAATATCCAGCTAGCAAAGTTGCTTGTGATGAAAACATCTATACCATTTGTCAGTCCACGTTGCCATTTCTCTTTGCATACCCAGTAATGGAGTATAAATATGTTACAGGTGCTTAGTGGATACCACTGGTAGGTCCCCCTTCTCTCTCTCTCTCTCTCTCTCTCTATCTCTCTCTCTATCTCTCTCATTCTCTCTCTCTCTCTCTCTCTCTCTCTCTCTCTCTCTCTCTCTCTCTCTCTTTTTTTGTATCTTTATCTTGTATCAGTGTGTGCCCGCACCTGTTGGGAATCGACTAAGGTGTTCAACATATTCAATATTCAAGTTAACTGATAATGAAAAATTAAAGAGTTATTTGTTGGGGAATGGCAAATTGTAAGAGTTATCCACGATTTCGAGTTGTCTGAGTTCGTGTTATCTGTGCTCCAGGGCACTTTGGAGGCCATTTTAGAGCAAATTCAATCTCACAAAATGAGCACCAAAAAAAATCAAGTGACAACTGCAATTAGACTGGCGAAAACTTTGAGGCATGTCCTGAAGCAAGTCACTTTAATCTTTGCTGAAAAAAGGGGTACATGTACTTCAATGTGTGTGACCAGTAATGAGTAATGGCGTATAAATATGCCGATTTGTTGTAACAGGTGCTTAGGGGATACCACTTCTTTTTCACTCTGTCTCTGTACTAAAAGACCACCATTGTGTTGATTTACTTCCCGTTACTCACAACTCAAATCTGATTTGTTGCTTTCTTTGTATTACACTGTATTTTTCAATACTGTATTTTTCAATACAGAATACAGGGTGATTAAAAAAGAATGCGCCAAAATCATCAAGTGATATTTCAAAGACGAAAAACAACAGAAAACTTTAGCTTGGACAAATGTGTTGTACATACCTTAAAGTTTTTATTTCAGGTTTTACAAGTGCTCAATATCTTCACCACCAAAAGCACGGACAGCTTCAAGCCAATATGAAAATTCCCCCCAAACACGCCTGAGGATGTCCCAGGCCACCGTGTTGATTGTAGCAGTTATTCAATCTTTTATGTCATTGATATTTGCTGGAAGTGGGAAAAAATAAACTTCGTCTTTAAGATACCCCCACAAAAAAAAACCCACCAAAAAAAAAAAAAAAATCACAAACGGTGAGGTCCGGGGATCAGGCAGGCCAGCCGCAGAGAGTGAGGTCTTTAGCACCTCCCCTACCAATCCAGCGGTGAGGAACATACATTTTCATTCAGATAAGCTCGAACCCAGAGACGCCAATGAGACGGTGCTCCATCTTGTTGAAAAATGAAGTCATTAGAATCTGTGTGCGGTAAAGTGAGTAGCCACAATCAACACGGTGGACTCAGACATCCTGAGGCGCGTTTGGGAGGAATTCTCATATTGCCTTTAATGTTTTCTGTGCTGCTGATGGTGGCCACATTGAGCACTTGTAAAACCTGAAATAAAAACTTGAATGTATGTGTACAACGTGTCCTAGCAGGAGTTTTCTATTGGTTTTCATTTTTAAAATATCGTGCGATGATTTTGGCGTATTCTTTTTGAATCGCAAAGCATTTTTATATATTACATGCTTTTGCCAGACAAGCTTCAAAACCGGAAGAAACATTAATAAATCGGAGAGCTCACCATGCTCTGGTAGCAATTTCCACTTCAGAGCTTTGAGGATTCTGATAAGGACAGATCAGATTGGTGATGGTGCCTGGATTAGTGATGGGCCAGGAGAAGCTGCCTTTGCTTGTGTTTGTCACCTCTCTCTGGCACTGTTCAGAACCTGATTAAACAAACAAACAAACAAACAAAATGCAAGATTAATGACAGAAGGTAAGAAGGACCATAATTTACAAGATAAAATTCTCCATTTATCAAAAAATAAAAATGTCATCTAAGGAGAACCAGCTTTGAAATGAGAGACGGGATGGAAATAGATAACATGACCTCAGACTGTGACAATTTGTGTTAGATTTTTATATGGGTTTAAAGCTAAATTATCTGGGGGGAGAGAGAGAGAGAGTAAAGAGCGATAGAGCAAGAGAGAGAGAGAGAGAGAGAGAGAGAGAGAGAGAGAGAGAGAGAGAGAGAGAGAGAGAGACAGAGAGAGAGAGAGAGAGAGACAGAGAGAGAGAGAAAAAGAGAGACAGACAGACAGACGGACAGACAGACAGAGGCAGAGACAGAGACAGAGAGAGAAAGACACAGAGAGAGAGAGAGAACAAAGAAAAATGTTAAAATACCATATATTCATTCTTGATTTTTTTTTCCTCTACTGAGCCTATTGATAAGAACTGTTGTTATTATTATTACCTGTGAAGGTGGGGCCAAAGTGCATGGACTGCCCATTGATGTTTTCCTTCCGTAAAAATCCATTAGGAGATGCATTGCTCTGCTCAATGTGTGTTTGTAGCATGCTCTTGACAACATTAGGAGACTCAGTGTTGAATACGGTGACTTCGATCTGAAGCACAACTTTGTGAGAACGATTTTCTTCAGGTCTTCGGATGGAAGAGTGCAAGGGCAGGGGGGGAGAAAATAAATCAAAATCTTTGTTAGTGTCACTTCATTTTTATAAAAAACACTTCTTCTGAGACATGTATAAATATATAACAATGAAGAAGTACGTCCTCCAAGGCATTGTATTGATCTGAACTTTCTTTCTCTCTTTTCCTTTTTTACTCTCTACAGAGCACACGTCATTAACAATAATTCTTCTATCAAAGTTTCTGTTGTACACATATGTCATTGTGAGGCAGCGGGGTGAAGTCAGGCGCTCGTCAAAATAATGAAAGAGAAGAAATTGGAATTTTTCCGCAGGTTTGGAAATTTTAGCGAATTTGTGTTTTTTGGCCCAACAACTTTCATGTCCATTTGAGAACACATTTGTGCATGGATTTTAATGAAAAACGCTGAATAAAGGTATAGAAGATGTAAATTTTAAGTTTCCACAGACTTTCAAACTAAGGAAGTAACTAAACTTTGGCAGTCATTTTTTCGCTTTTTTACCTCTGAAACCAGGCGACCCCCCACCTCTTTCAATCGCCAATATCTTGACTTGTATCCAAGATAAATGGATACTTTTTTCATCGAAAGCAAGGCAAATGGACAGGCTTTAAGATGGCACCAGTAACTTCATATGTCTAAAAGTTGATGAGCGCCTGAATCCACCGCGTCGTGAAAACATAATATTAATTTTCTTTATCCCTTCAACTCTCCCCATCTGTTTTAGTTTAGTTTTAGTAGAGGTTTTACGGCACTCGCAACTGCATAAGGTCATATGACCGCCAGAAGATTAGAGGTGTTACAAAAGAGTAACTAACATAAAAAAGAAGAAGGGGAGATAAGGATGATAGATGCTTGATAGGAAAGAAGAAGCAAACCACACCAGAGCACCCGCCAACCACCCACTCTCCCCATCTGTGGGAGGCCCTCAATATTACAGAACTGGCTGACATGCTGAAGTTTTCCCTGCTGTTTTTGTAAAGCGCTCTTTTTTGCCGGTTGGAGTGCTGATCCACCTTCAACATTCTTAATTCCCAATAGGAATGCTTGCTTATGAAGGGTTCCTTTCCCATTTTCTTTTCCATTTACTTTGAACTCAGAAATTATTTCAAAAAGTAATGTACCAAAGTGCTCAAGGTAACAGACAGCAAGATTCTTGGAATCTGGATAAAATGGTACCATAATTTATAACAGGTTTTTGTCCCCTTTACTTCTTCACCTGAGAAAACATTTCCTTCTTTATTTCCTTCTTTATTTCCTTCTTTATTTCCTTCTTTATTTCCTTCTTTATTTCCTTCTTATAAAACAAAGACACAGAAGAATAAAACCTGGAGATAATCTCTAATCTTATCCACCCTGAGCTGAAAGAGAGAATGATCCAGGTGAAAATTGGATGGTAATGCGCCACCCATGCAGGTGGACTCTATTTACACTCCCATCAACACAATTTAGATCATTTTGAAGGTGGGCTGCTTTGATCCTTCGTGTCAGGACCAACCCAGGCGGAGAGGGATAGAACATCCCAGCACAAAGATGGAGGTATTTTGTAAAAATTTTCCCCACACAGAAATCGAACTCAGGTCTTTTGCATGCCACAGTTAAGTGCCTAACTGGTACACCACAGACACCAGCTTCCTAGCTTTGGGGGAGAATAGAAAAATATGCTTTCTGGCGATAGCGAGATTTCAAACTTAGCCCTCAGCAGTGCTACAATGGCTGCTGGCTCTGGAATTAATTCCGCCTTGGAATTTGTGTTGAACTTTTCCCCACTTCAGATACAAAAAGGCAGGAAATTAAACTGAATGTTTGAATACCAGGACTGTTTAAAAAGATGGGCATCTTATTCACACATACGCTAAAAAATTAGCTAAAAATTTTTTAACAAAATGTTTTCAATATTTTCTCTCAGCACAGCGTCTGGTCAATTAACTGAGTATTCCACCTTCAAATGAACTTCACATCACTGTGAAGGGAATTACAGGCTTAGTTTTTATAGTTAAGTAGTTTTTACAGCGCTCGCAACTGCATAAGGTCATATGAGCGCCAAGGGGTGGATGTCAACAGAGAAGTCCATACAGGGAATCAGGGCTCACTCTGCTCACCTCTCTAGTTTCAACACTCTAGTTCAACAGTATAAAGTCTTCTTCGACTATCAAAGCCCCCCGCAAATAGTGGGTCGCAAGAGAAAGACAAACATACAAAAGGAGTAGAGGAAAATTGATGATAGTAAAGATTAGAAAAGAAAAAGCAGCAGTTCCAAGTATGCAGTTCTGACACAGTATGAGCATGACATTGATGAATCAGCCCATTACAATTCTACTGTGCATAAGAACATGATAATGTCCCCCCTTTTGGAATGGCCTAAAGACACTATAGTCAGTAGCACCACCCTGGGGGGTTTATTACAGACTTAAAGAAAACAAAATGCTCTAGATTTTATGTAATATCAGGCCATGAGTCAAAGTACTTACTCATATCGCAACACATAAACATCAAATCCTCCTTTCACTTGACTCGTTATGTCTCTCAATATCTGAAATAAACACAACAATTTAGTTGTAGTTAGCGTTTTATGACATTTGCAACACAATTAGGTTATATCAGTGCCAATGATTAGAGGTGTAACAAGACAGTTACAAACACAAAAAAAGGAGAAGAGACAGGGATAATAGATGTTTTTAATTATATTATTAGTAGAGGGTTTTACGGCACTCTCAACTGCATAAGGTCATATGAGCGCCAAGGGGTGGGTGTCAACAGAGAAGTCCTTACAGGGAATCAGACTTACTCTGCTCATCTCTCTAGCTTCAACAGCACAAGGTCTGCTTCGACTATCAAGGCATCCCGGAAATAGCAGGTCACAAGAGTGTGACAAACATACAAAAGAAGTAGAGGAAATAACAACAGTAAGGATTAGGAAAGAAAAAGCAGCAGTTCCCTGTTGCAGATCAGGCACAGTTATGAGCGTGACATGATGAATCAGCCCATTTACAATTCTACTCTGCTTGAACGAGAAATGTCCCCCCCCTTTGGGAATGGCCTAAAGACACTACAGTCAGTGCACTGCCCCGGGGGGTAATAGATGTTTGATAGGAAAAAAGGAGCAAGCCACACTAGAACACCAGCCTACCACCTAAAATGCATACAAAACCATTTTATCAATCCATCAAACACATACTCCTGTAAACAATCCACATCTAATTACCTTACCTGCTAAAACCTTTTTTCTTCGAAATAAGAACAATAAAAGAGAAGGAAAAAAATAATATAGGCCTTCAGTATTTTTTCCTCTCATTTGGAAATTTTAATTGATTTTTTGTTTGTTTTTTGGCTCAAGACTTTCTATGTCCATTTAAAAACATTCCTGTGTGGATATTACTGAAAATCATTTATCAAAGGTACAAAAAAAATAAATTAATTTGCTGTTGTCAAGGACTCTCAAGCTTTGGAAATCACCTAATTTGGGCAGCCATTGTCTCAATAATTTTTCCTCTGAACCAGGCGACTCCACCTCCTATAATCACAAATATCTCAACTTCTATTCAAGACAGATGGGTATTTTTTTCATCAAAGGCAAGACAAAGGAACAATTTAAGCTCTAAGATGATACCAATAGCTTCACATGCCCATAAATTGATGAGAGCCCGATTTCACCACGTCATGGAATAATTATTCTAGACCAACTGCTAGGAGGAACCATACCTAGTCAAGGTTAAAATTCCTTTCTGCAATTTCCTGTCCAAGAAGTACAAACCAACTAGCCCAGTTCTCTGCCTTTACCCAGACTAACACACAGGCTAGTGTGTCTACGCAAGTGTCTACGCTACTCAACCACTGAGGCTAAGCCTATATCTTATCCACACTCAAACCTTCTTTCCTCAGATATGTTTATATAGCAGCAAAACATACCCATGTGATAAGACACAAACACGAGTCAAACCAGTCCAAGACAACCACCAATTGTCGAGGAGGAAAGTGGATAGTGACCAAGTAATAATATTAATAATAATAATTATGATAGGCATAATAATAATAAAAATAATAATAATAATAATAATAAAAATAATAATAATGATCATTAATTGCATTTATGTAGTGCATATTCATTAGTAAGGAAGTGGGAAGCGGTTGTTTGTACAGGTGATTGTCTTGGACAAGTGTTCGTTAGAGCAGGTTTGACTGTCTAAGTTAATCCCCACTTACTCCAGTTTTAATGCGCAGTTCCTCCTCTGCGTACTGCTGAGAGTTTGTGTCCTTCATGTAAGGTTCGAATGGAGCATTGACTCTCACATACACAAGATTGAAGGAGTAATCAGTGGTTCGACCTGCAGCAGAAGAAAATGAAAAATGTACACATTCACAAAAATCGTTCTTTAACCCTCTTAGTACAACAAATAGGTCAGCAGGTCAGCACAGCAGAACCAAAACGTCGACCAGCTGATGGCTTCCCAGAACTGAAGTATAATTTCAGTGGGTTTTCAGAGGTTCAGGGGGAGTAGCAAAGAAAGCTTTTGCTTCTGATCTAAGAGACGTTTTTCAAATAAATTTCACATACAAAGACCGAAGACACCAGCATCTAAATTTAGAGTGAAATGTTCTATTTCTAAGCCTACACTAAAGGCGGGTGTGTCAGGCCGGTAAAAGCCGGCATGACAACATGACAGGAAGGCCGGTTTAGGCCGGTATGGCTAAAAAAGGGTTCAATGTTGTATATCGACGGCATGCTGTAAGACTCTGTCGTATGCCATTATAGACTTTGTTAGTTTGAGTAAGATTTTACGGCGCTCGCAACTGCATAAGGTCATATGAGCACCAAGGGGTGGATGTCAACACAGAAGTCCTTACAGGGAATCAGACTTACTCTGCTCACCTCTGTAGCTTCAACAGCACAAAGTCAAGGCACCCCGAAATAGCGGGTCACAAGAGTGTGACAAACATACAAAAGAAGTAGAGGAAAATTGACGATAGTAAGGATTAGGAAAGAAAAAGCAGCAGTTCCATGTTGAAGTTCAGGCACAGTTATGAGCATGACATTGATGACTCAGCCCTTTTACAATTTCAGTTCTACTGTGCATAAGAACATGGTTAATGTCGTCCCTTTGGGAATGGCATTTGCAGTGACCTCTTACAAAATAATGTCATTCCATTATCCATCAGTCCAACTCTATAAAGTGACAGCTGCAGGTTCTCTTCAACTGTTTTATAGTTCCGTTCAGTCTATTCTCTGAATCGAATGTCAAAGGGAGAAAGATAGCCCTAATGTTTCTTTCCTTTTACCTTGAGACATTATCCAATGTTTTCACTTTCTGTACTGACAATAATAATAAGAATAGCGAGTCTGTCAATGTCTGACGATGACCAAAACATCCACAGAAGAGAATATTTCTCCAGTGAAATAGAAGAATTAAAGGTAACAATGATTTGTGGCTCCTGCTGTGTTTGATGAGACCAATTCAGGCAGAGAAAAGTTTGCCACATTTTTAACCTGAACTCCCAATATACTGCACCTAATTGTGTTATGTGTTTACCTCCTATACTGTTATCTCCATCGCAGGTGGGACCGATGCAGCAAAACGAGCAGTCTACATCCAGGGAAGTCTGGTAGTCTAATCCACAGGTGCCTTCATTGTTTGCCACCATGCTCAAGCACATAGTGTAGGGGACACACCGGCTTGATATTGCCATTGTTTTACTTTTCTCTCTCCAAGACACAGATTTCACACACACCATCTGGAGAGAAAGGAACACTCATTCCTTAAAAACTTTTAGTGAATCAGTATCCTATTCTCAAGATCTGACTGCCAGTCATGTCAGTTTGCTTAAGACCCCATTTTTAAATAAGTACAATCACTTGTTTTCAGCACATATCAACCCCCTGAGACCGAACTTTAAAGAACCAAGATCCTGCTTTTGCAAAAGCGAAATCTAAACAAGTACCGGTATAAATACTTCCAGCAAAAACATGTACGTGAATGTCTATACATAACGGTCAATTTCTCAGTTACTTTTAAAAGTCCCACTGCAGATTTTCTGATGTATACAAGCTTATTCAGTTTCTACATAGATTGTCTCACTTATGAAAATAATAAATAATTGGAGCATCTTCTGTCTGACAACAGGTGCAAAGAAATGTCCCCTAGGTGGGATGGCACCCGGGCTGTTGCATTTGCTAGTCATCTTAACATAATCATGTCTCATCTGCCTTGTTTGGCACAGTGATCGCTATTTTTAATTGTCTAACTAACTACAATTAATGCTCACACACCATCTTGTCTGATAAGCAGTTAGCCCTGTCATCACTGTCAATGTACCAAAAACACTATTTTGAAAGCTATTCCCTGATCAAATCCAGGTATAGACAGTGAAAGATCTTGTCAGTTTATTAGTGTTTGAGCACTTAACCAACTGCTTGCACTGCGTGCTTCCCGGGAAGCTGAGAGGAAGCTGAGAATGTTTCTGAGTGTTCTATGGTCTGCTGGGGTAATAATAGAGTGTAAAGAGCATAGAGCTTGCTATACAAATGCTATTTATTATTATTATTATTATTATTATTATTAAAATCCTACCTGTTTCTCTGACATAGCCTTCTATTTCTACTCAATTCTTGAGCACAAGAATTTTAGGCAAGTTTTTAAAAGACTGACACACAACTAGTCAACCATCAAATATGTGCTGTTGCCTCCTGCCCCAAAGAGAAATAAGTCTCAATGTTCCACAATTCAGTTGAGCTTGCTATCAACTAATGTGGACTTTACCTGCTTAATGTTTAAAAAGCTTTACTATAAGAGGAGGAGGGTCAGGAGGAGCAAGAAGAGAAAGAAGAGAAAGAAAAAGAGGAAAGAGGAAAAGGGGGAAAAGAACAGATAGAAATCGAGGAGGGGAAAGTTAAAGAGGAGCAGGAGGAAGTAGTCCATTAAAAGTCCAAATACAACTACACACGATGAAAAGGCAATTTTGACTGTTTTCAAGGTGGACAATGAAATCTCTTTTATACCCAGTGCCAAATGGGGGAATGGTTGTCTGACACAAACTGATCGCTAACCGATCGTCCGACTCGCGGCCAGAAAAGAAATGCGTTTATTTTTTAGGCCACGAGTCACTAAGCGGTCGGTTTGTGCCACAATGGTCGCTTTGCGCCCTCAGTCTGGCTTCTCCACCTATCAAACCAAACCAGTTGTGCCAATGGGCACTGGGTATTACACACACCATAGCCACAGACCAGTTACCTCTGGAATGCCTATGCAAGGCTGTTTCCCTTGTGATTGTTGTTTACAGCCATAATTGGTGCTTGCTTTGTTACAGCTGTAGCACTCTGAACCGTCACTGAAGATATTGGCAGAACCACCTGAAAAGAAAAAGATGTAAAAGTGGGCACGTTTTACGCTTTCCAAAACGGTCACATTAGCTTGTCAGAGGCCCATGCCCTTAACATATAATGGACAAAATGAGACCAACTCTTGGTAAAAGGACGGCAGTACCTTAAACTATCCATTGTCATGCATAAAAGTCATTTCAAAGGTTATCACAGTGTTTCATGCTACATTCAAAATACTACATATAGTTCTCATTAAATAGTCATATTCATAAAAAGTGTTTCTATCTACTCTAAGGTATGGAATATGGAATAAGTGTCATCCCCCGCTTATTAATTTTCATTTTTTTTGCGCACCCCCTGCTACTTATTCCATACCACCCACCCTTTTATTATTTTCCAGCTTGCCACGACCGACGATCATGTGAAACATTATAGGCTTAAGACACACAGGGCCCAGAGACAGGAAACGTGGCCAACCTCACTGACACTACAAGAGAACCTATACCGGCCGACAGATGAACTGAGCAGGACGGCCCAATTTATGACAGATACCAGACTTCAAATGTGATGTGATCAAGAAGAAGAAGAAGATCATAGGCCAATCTAGATTCTAGATATCTGAATGAAACTTCTGCTTTTTTTTGTAAATGGCAAATTACCCTCAGTATTAGTACCAGTACTGGGATGGCTACCTCCATTTCCTGTGCATTTTTTAAACTTTAGTACATTGGTTTATACTTTTAATACTGGTTTGTTCCTAAATGGGAAAAGTTATCACAGTAACTTACTAAAATCACTAAAATTTTATGATGTCTTGTTCTTTTATTCTCAGAAAGAGAAATAAAACAGATTTGTTCCTACTAATACAAGGGTATGAGGTTGAATGTGCCACCCCCCCCCCTTTATTCCATACCCCTGTTTATTAATTTTAGACCACTTGTCCAAACCCCCCCCACCCCCCCCCCCCCCCCCCCCACCGTTTATTCCTACCCCCACCTACCCCCAACCCTTTATTCGATACCTTAGAGTACATGAACAGCAAACATGTAGCAAAAACTCATTTCGGACTTTAAAAAAGCAACCACTTGTTCTGCAAGTGGGCATCAAACATAAAGATTCTAAATAATACGCAATAATTGACTCTTTTCACATCAGAGAACATTCTAAAAAGTCAGTGTAACAAAAACTTTCATGCCGCATAAAAAAACGCAGGTCTTCCACTTCTATTTAAAATGGAATTAAGTTTTCACACAGACTCCAAAAAGACTAAATGATGCCACAGCATAGACACATAATGCTTAAAAGCAGTAAAGCAAATTTGAACAATATGAAAATAGCGTTTAAAAAAATCATGACAAGTAAAATCCAAACAAAAAAGCCTTGATACAAATTTTATATAATTTAAAAACAAAAGACATTTCATGTCGAAATTCTTTTTTTGAAGAGCCCCTCCTCTTATTACAAAAAAAGCCATATATTCTTTAAAAAACAGAGTTAGTAGCTAAACAAAGCAATCAAAAACTTCAAAATTTAAAAGAAACTAGTGTTGACATATTGAACAAGATAACTAAAAGTCATGCATATTAGAGGTCAAGAGAGAGAACAAGATATTTTGTTAAAGACACCCCACCAACATTGATAACAGGAATGGTCTTTTTGAAAATTACAGAACAGGTAAAGCAACCATTTGAAATGAGGAGCAATACAAAAGAAGAATATTGTTCGTAGCTGCTTTACTGTTATTTTTGAGCATATTTACTGCCCTACAAGGCACGGTGAATTAATTTCTACTAATACACTGATTATTTTCTCCTTCCTTTTTTCTTGTAGCATAAAAAACTGCATCTCCTCTCCATGTTTAGCGGCAACAAGCAACAAAAAAGTAAAAGTAAGTAGAAAGATTGTAAATATTGAGCAACCCTCTCAACACGATTACGATTACTTAAGAGTTGATCTGTTTTTACTTAAGAGTTGATCTGTTTTTACTTAAGAGTTGATCTGTTTTTACTTAAGAGTTTATCTGTTTTTACTTAAGAGTTGATCTGTTTTTACTTAAGAGTTGATCTGTTTTTACTTAAGAGTTGATCTGTTTCAATCCAGCCTGTTAGGATCAACCTGTGCAGAGAGGGATGCAGCACCCCTGCAAAAAGATGTTGGTAAACACACATGACAAAATTCCCTATGTAAGAATCAGGCTCAAGTCTCTTGATTGTTAGAAAGAAGAGCCAAACCATTAACATCATAGACACTGCGGTAATTCCTTTATAGTGCAGGACATTTTAAAATATACTTGAGTAAAGAAGTGCATATCAATATGGACCGATTTTTTAATGCAGGGCAAAAGCAAGACAGAAAGACAGACAGATAGAAAAAAGAAAAAGGAAAAAGAAAAAAACCCACTACAGAGGCACTCTCCAAATTCTGTGTGGCAGTGTTTGCAACATGAGGTGCCCCTCCTACTTGCATACAGTGACTTTCTATTCTTACATTACTTTACACACCAACCTATTGGCACTGATCAAGTGTCAAGACAGTTGTTTTACAAGACATGAAAGTGTCCCTCATCTTACTTGTACTTGTAACAGGACATAATAAGGAGCAACCTGTTAAGTATCTATCATGCAGGGAATGGGGGGAGGGAGCAGGAGGGTGGGAAGGGGGGGGGGGGTCAGTAACATCTGTCAGCACCACAAGTCCACAAGACAAGGGACACCTTAGCTCAGTTCAGTTTGAGTAAAGGGAAGCGCATCAACAGGATAACTGTGATACATGAGGAAATCCACCCCCCAAAAAAAACAACAACAACCCCACCAAAAACAAAACAAAACAACAACAACAAAAACTGCAAGATTGTTAAGAAGAGAGAGCAAGATAGCCAGAAAGAGATGAAAAAGGGAAAGAGAGGGAAAAGAAGCAGAACCTACCATGCAGTGGCATTCTCGGAATGCTCACAACAGTGTACACATTATATTGTATAACTTGCAAACATCGAGGTTGCATGATGTCGCAATCACAGTGAATTTGTGATAGACACACAACAATAACAGAGAGACACACACAAAAAAAAAGAAAGTGGAGAGATAATGATGATAGATGTTTGAAAGGAAAGAAGGAGCAAACCACACCAGAGCACCCACCAATCACTCACTCCTCAACTCACATATATATATATATATATATAAATACAAAAAACAACCCATGAATAAAAGCTTTCATCCAATAATGTGCAAGGTGACCTCTAGTGTTAGAAAGCAAAATAAAAATCTTGTTGAGCTCTTGCATATTACATAATGCTTTTTCCAAATCATTATATATAATGATGTACCGGATACATAAACAGAAAAAAAGAAGCTTAAAAGATGATGCATTTATCATTTCTGATATTACTTATATTAGTCACAAGTGACCTCTGTGGAAAAAAGATTGTGTAGGGAACAAGCGTACTGTCTATGGTCCTACACTAAAGTCCAAATCCTAAAAGCGTGGGGCATTAGTAAAAACAAGAACGTGCAAGACAAAAAGGGATAATAGAAAAGGTTCAATACTTTAGAAGCACAATTCTCAAAAAATCACAAAATATGTATGTCACTGTTACATTTCATGAAGACATTTGAACTTATTGTGCTTTGACTAAAAGGGGGAGTTGTGGAGCCAAAAGTCTTCTCAAGCACCAAATGCAAAATTAAATATTCCTGGATTTTCGCCAAAAATCCAGGACTCACAATGCAAAGTTCAAGGATAATGAATAAAATCATCATTACAACGAGGACAACAGTTGTGCTCAGATTCAAAGATTCAAACAAATCTCCTTACAGGAATACTTTGACAGTCCAGTTCAAGAAGCCAGAAAGCCACAACATTTTTTATATTGTACAGGAGAGTGAAAGTGTATCACTTTTGTCTTTTTGTTACAAAGAAAGTAGACAAAAGTTTTGGTATCCCTTACGTCAGTGGTTTATACAAAGATAACTCATAGGACAGAGAGGTATAGCATCTCGCTACCTCAGAATTACAAAGAGGTATCTGGCATTTTTGGCCATTTTGAGATGGGGCCTACTAAAACCATGAGGTCAGAAATGAGAAGCTATGTCTGCTCTATCAAAATCGTCAGATTATTTTGAGTCGTCATCAAGATATTCAAAAATTGCATTTGAAAAAGCTTGACATATTTGTGAAACTCAAAATAGTTTACGTCAAATTTCTCAAAACTAGGTACTGAGCAGAGAGAACTAGGTAATATCAAGGTATCCATCTGTATCGCAAATCTGAAGAGGTGAGTATTTTTTAAAAGTAGAAGAGTTCCAGTTTCTTGAACTAAACCGCCGTTGTGGGATGTGGGCTGTCCTCATGCTATAACCTGCCCCAATATATAACAACTACAAGCAGTAATGCAGCATGCCTCGTGCAAATCGTAAGTCGGCTTAGAGGGAAGCTCATTCCATCGCAAGAAGGAAAAGCATCCACGAAAGTCCTTACCAGTCTCCTCTTCACTGCTCTCCTCTTCACTGCTGTGCTCCTCGCTGCTCTCTTCTTGTGAATCCATGTCTACGTCCTTCTTTCTATCTCTATTTTTCTTCTTTCTTTTGGTTCTTCCATTTTGAGCTACTTTCTGCTCTCTTACTTGTTCATTTTTTTCCATCCTGGTAAAGTTACCAAAACTCTGAGCTCTGACAATTCTACCTATAACACGATTTTTCCTTCCTTTACTCTTTATAGTTCTCTTGTTTTCATTCTTGCTTTTGTTTTTGCCTCGTGGACCACCATTATAGATTTCAACCTCGTCGTCAAAACCTTCATCACTCTCCTCACTTTTCACTGCTTGGTCTTCACTAGAATCATCTTGTGAAAACAGTTCCAAGCCACAGAATAAGTCATGGTTAACAACATAATTTATTGAGCAAAAACAAAAAGAATGCCTAAAACAAATATTTCATTTCAACATCCAATATAAAAATCTTAGTTTTAGAATTTGTTTTTACAGCACTTGCAACAAAAAAAGGTCATACAAGTGCCAAAAATTAGAGGTGTTGCTAGAGAGTAGCATACAAAGAATAGGAGGAGAGATAAGAGGTGTTTATAGGAAAGAGGGAGCAAACCACACCAGAGCATCCGCCAACGAACAACTTTTCACTTCAACTTCCAATACCAAAAGCAGAAGCACAAAAACTTAAGAAAGCCAACATAGCAAAAACTGGGAACAGATTAACCATCCATCCACTTAAATGTACCAATACTAACTATTACCGAGCTTCAGACAGTGATTGTCAACATTAATCAATCAGTGACAAAAAACGTTTAAAAAATGAAATAAAGGTCCTCAATGAAAATAACTGTAAACAATTCATTATCTGGCATTTCTGAAATATTCATCATTTTAAATGTTGACACAAAATATGCCAATACTCAATAAGTGAACAAAATAAGGAAACTTTGTATCTTGAATTGCAACCGTTCAAACAATATATTTTTTTAATGTAAAAAAATTGAACTTTTTAATAAAAGAGATGCAGAGAAAAGAAACAAAACATTCTCCTGTATTTGGAACGAAGGCAATTATTCTTAAGTAGTCCAGTAAAATATGAAATGGTCAGCTCAGTACGTAGGATTTTAGGCCTACTTTTGACTGGCCACAAGCTGATGACAACAAAACAAGACAAAACAAAACAGCACATTTTATCACACAGAACTAAAAACATAAGTGGTACTACTATATATGTTTCTGGCTTCATATCCCAAAGCAGAAAGACTGGAAAAGGTATGTAAGCTTTTGTGTGCAATGCTTAAAGATAAGATTTTGTAACTTAATCATGTTAAGACATTGGGTTCTATGTCTGGAAAGAGTCAGCTTTATTAACCCTATCCATACGCTCTGGGGTCCTTTTGTACCCCCGGGGTTGTATTCTTCACATTTTACAATGCTTCTAGTACAAAGATATCTCTTTGAAACTTTCAGTATTTCTCAGAAAATCAGTTTGTCAGACTGCTATGCAAGCGTACGGATCGGATTAACGAGTGAATTTCCTCTTTGGAAAGTGGTGGCACAGAGTTCCCCATGTCATATATGGATATGATAGCAAAACACGACCTACGGATAGGGTTAATAAGGATAATTTTGAGTGCTTTTTGCAAGCAACATCTTCATACTTTAAAAAGTTGAATGAATTAAAATTCAAAGTTGCATAAAGACTATTCACAGATGTTTTGCATCGGAAGTCCAAGATTGATTAAATCTTCCATTACACAAGAGATTCTACAATTTTACACACCAAGGAGAGAAGGGTGTTACCTCAAACCAGCTACAATTGTGTGAAATATTGATTGGCTTGTTTGTGTGAGCACTCAAACTATTTGTAAATGGGCAGAGAATCATAATATGGGTAAAATTAGGTAGTGAAAGTAGCATAGGACAAAGTGTAGACATTGGGCTTGAAATCTGTACCCACCCAAAAAATGCCACTTAAGTGGCGATCTGCTGAAAGGCGGAGCCAAAAACGCCACCAAAGTGGCGCACCAGAATTAAAGAGTTGAACCCATTAGTTTATGCTTTAAGTCAACGTTGTCAATCTAACATCACATTGAAGACAGCATGAGCAGCCTGTTACACTATTAGTAATCACTTTTGTTCAATACTTACCTTGGCAATTGCCAAACACTGTATTATCAACATTTGAATACAGTCTATTCTGTGGATCATTTTGACAACGTAGCTCTTGAATGTTGATGTTTGTTCCAGATTGTTCTGCCACAGTTTTCCAGGCTGCCAAACCTTTGATGTTACAGTCACAGTTTATAGCATTGGAGTTGAATTTACTGCAGAGATGAACCATGAAAATAAAGACACATTAGACACAGAGTTAGATATTGACTTTTCAGCTATGGATTTTGAGAGATTTTAAAAAGCGGCAGACAAAAACAATGAAAATACAGACACATTAGACACAGACTGAGAAATTAACTTTTCAACGGTGAATTTTGAGAGATTTAAAAAAAAAGTAAATTTGTTTTTCACCACTTTAATCTATGTCTTTGAGTTTGTTTGTATAAGTAAAAAAGAATCACATCGACACAAGAACAGTCATTTAGTGTAGGTCAACAGCAGGTCAGACAGTAACCATAATTGGGAAAGAACAAAAGTAGGACCTTCCAGCCCTGCAACCTCCTGCGTGCTTTTGAGGACTTTACTATTTCCAAATAGAAAAGAAAGTGCTTTACACTATCACCCCCTTAAGAGGTGCTGTGAATACAATAACTATTATCTTTTCGTAAATTTCAATGTGCCAGGATTCAGAGGCAAAATTAGCGAGAAAATGGCTGCCAAAGTTGAGTTATTTCCTTAGCTTGAGAGTGTGGAAACTGAAAATTTACATATTTTATGCCTTTAATCAATGTTTTTCAGTAAAATTAACACAGAAAAGTGTCCTTTAATGGGTATGAAAGGTGTTGAGCCGAAAGCAAAGATTTAATTAAAATTCCCAAACCTGCAAATAAATGCCAGTTTCTTGACTTTCATTATTCTGACGATTTCATTAGTCTGACGAGCACCTGATTTCGCCGTGCTGCCTCCCAATTCTTGTCCATATTTTGCACGATTGCTTTAAGAAGTGATTTTAAACTCTCATTGACACAAACGAAACCTTCTACAAGGCAGGCTGCTTCATCCCAGACTGAATGGGAAACTGCACCCCACCAGAAAGACAAAGATATTCGATAAAATAGCATCCTAGAATGGGAATCAAACCTATGTCTTTACACACGGAACTAAAGAGCCTATAACCTTTAAACCACACACTGTGTGTCTTTTCATAATTAATCAATCTTGTTTTTCTTTTAAATGAAGGTGGTTTTTTTTAACACTTTGGTGCATCATCTCGCCGATTGGCGATGTTTACCGCCCAGTTTCTTTGGATTTTCTCCAAAATATGATGGCGAAGGGTTAATGCCCTCATCGACACTATTTAGATCACTTAGAAGGCGGGCTTCAACCTTGTCTGTCAGGGCCAACCTCAGCTGAGAGGGATAACAATGTCCCAGCACAAAGACAAAGATATTCAAGAAAAATTCCCCCCCCCCTCCCCCCCTTTCCCTCATCCTCCCCTGATGAAAGGCACCCCGACAACAGCATAACTTTATATTACCTCTCATTGGTAGGACAAAGTAATGTCCATTACCATTAGGCAAACCATCTCTATTGCCTTAGTAATTAGGAAACCTGGCTACAGGTAATCACTGGCAACTCGTAATCAAGCCGAGTAAATGGTTACGTAATTGTTGTCTTAGCAACAATCGTCATAGAATTTAGAGAAGAGAATTTTCAGTAATAAAGCATACGTCCACCGCTACAGTCGTGTCTGGCTCCTGTTGCTTTCAAAGTCTGTCTAGATCTAGATGTTGTGATTCTGATGTCCCGACTGTACAAACAATAAGACCAGAAAACTATTTTAAAGTCCTGCTGACTCCCTCCCTTGAGCTTACTTGGGGTAGATAGAAACAGCAACTCTGCTAATAATAGTTTGTTCATGAGACAAGAAGTTCCAAGGCGAATACAAAGTGGAGACTCCCTAAAAACCAGTGCTTTTATTCCTATCTCGCTTTCTTTACATTTTTTCAACCAATCTTATGACCATCGTTTTATTTTCACACAAACTGAATGGGACTTTTTTAAGTTTAGTTTTAGTAGAGTTCTTACAGCGTTCGCAACTGCGTAAGGTCATATGAGCGCCAAGGGGTGGATGTCAACAGAGAAGTCCATACAGGGAATTAGACTTACTCTTCTCACCTCTCTAGCTTCAACAGCACAAATTTTGCTTCGACTATCAAGGCACCCTGAAAATAGCGGATCACAAGAGTGTGACAAACGTACAAAAGAAGTAAATGAAAAATGACGATAGTAAGGATTAGGAAAGAAAAAGCAGCAGTTCCCTGTTGCAGTTCAGGCACAGTATGAGCATGACATTGGTGAATCAGCCCATTTTCAGTTCTATTGTGCATAAGAACATGTTAATGTCCCCCCTTTGGGAATGACCTAAAGACACTTCAGTCAGTAGCACCGCCCCTGACCGGGGGGGGGGGGGGGGGGGGGGTAATGGGACCTTAAATACTTCATAAAACTGCAAAACTACATAAATCATTTGTAAACTTTTGAAAAGACAAGATACTCACAAATCCACTGAGGTCGAGGCAGTGGAAAATGAAGTTATGAAGGAGTACTTGTTCACAGTTGTTATATAATTTCTTTGAAAACTCCTGGAATAAGAACAAAGGAAAAGAGGAGAAATTTTCACATATTATTACAATAATAACAAACACATTGTGACAATGAAAATATATAACATAAGAAAGTATTATAATAATAATAATAATAATAATAATAATAATACTAATAATAATAATAATAATAATACTAATAATAATAACAACAATGACAATAATAATAATTTTAGTAATAATAATATTAGTAAAAATAATAACAATAAATACATAAACAGTATTTTAATGGCGTATTTCCCCGCTCAACAGCAAGCTCCAAGTGTTTTTCAATCTATAAGGGCCTACATGCGTCTTTTATCCCAGCAGACCCTGTGAGACTTAGAAATATTCTTGGCTTCTCTGGAAGTGTATTGTGCAGGCAGCTGAACAAGAATCCAAACACTAACAAACTGACAAGATCTTTCACTGTTTTAAAGCAAAGTACCCATTCTCATGTGGGTGAAGTGAGGAAAATTCGTGCTATGAAAGGCACAACATTGGGCTCCTGATGAGGTTTGAATCCATGACCCTGTTTGTTTTGTTGTAGTAAGAGCTTCAAAGCGCTCGCAACTGCATATGGTCATATGAGCGCGAAAATAAGTGGGTTCTATTCGCAACAATTCACAGGACAGCCCGATTCTGGTTAACACATTTACCAAAATGCTTAAATGCTAAAAACTTGGTGTAAATAAAATTTTTATTTAAATAACTTTTTAAATAGCATAACAAAAATTTTATTCACAATTTTCCATACAGGCCAATGGCCTTTATAAAATCAAGGACTCTGTTGGGATCAATGACGTAAAACAGATTTTGCGGTTTTTTTCATCTAAAATATCTCCTTCGGGTCTCTCCAAAGTTTAGACATTCTGCTAAAATGTGTCTAATGGTAAAATCTGTGTCGCATCCGACACAGAACGGCTTCTCATCTCCCTGAAGGAGGTATGTATGTGTCAAGGATGCGTGTCCGATGCGTAATCGAGTAAAAATGACTTCATCTCTTCTGGAGAGGCCCGACAGATTTCACGGTCCCAGTTTGGGCTTACTGTTGTGAAGTTTGTTGTTTACTTGCTTTTTCCAATGAGTCTCCCGCTGACAGGAGGTGTAGTTTTTTACTTTATTTTTAAAGTCAGTCTGTGGGAGAGTGTTCGTCGCTGATCCCAACAGAAGGAACAATGATTCTTTGGCCAGGAGGTCCACTTGCTCGTTTCCTCGGATGCCCACGTCATGGCTAGGTAGCCATGCTAACTATTGGAATGACAGTGGCGAGACGCCAAGACTCCGGAAAGGAGTGCGACAGCCACATGTCGTTGTATATGTCTAGTAGGAGTGTAAGTGTTTCTGTGGGTAAATGTCTAATGATATGGTTGTGGATGTCATCCGAACCCGGAGCTGTATTGCCCAGGTCCGAGATGCACGATGTTAGTTCGTCTAATGTGAAGTCTGCATTGTAGGTTTCAGTGTTGTTTGAGTGGAAGTTCAGGTGTTGTTGCTCTCTGTTAGTTTTGATGTTTTGGAAGGTGGTGTTGTATTTGCTTTGGATGAGTTTTTGGAGAGAGATGTAGCTATTGTGTTTGCGATTTCTACCTGTGTTTCAGCTGTGGTTCCATCCGGCCTCTAGACGTGCCGAATGGTGCCTGTGGGTCTACCCAAATTTTTTTTTGCGATTTTAAAAACTTGGTTGAGTGGTGTCTGGCTGCTGATTTTGGAGATGTATTTTCTGAATGATTGTCTTTTGCTCTCACTGAGGCATCTAAGTGCCTCAGCTTGAGCTTTTCTGTAGTTAATATTTTATTTTTTGAGGTGGTGTTGTCGTCTTATACGGCTCTTCGATACGCTGCCTTCTTTTTCTTTACTCCATCATCACATTCGACAGAGAACCAGATTTTGTTCTTCCGGGGTTTTGGGGATGTTTTTGGTATGTGTTTGTGGCATATTTCTAGAAGTGTTTCCTGGAATTTGTTGTAGTTGAGGTCGAAAGTGGGATTCAGAATCTGGGAACATTCAGTGGCAAACCCGTCCCAGTGTGCTTTTTTGAAGTTGAAGCGTTCTGGGATCGGGTCGTTTTAGAGGCTATTGTTTTTAAGAAGACCTGGGAAATGGTCCGTATGGTCATCCAGCACAGACCACTCAAGATCTGGGACTAGGTCAAGGGTACAAAAGGTGAGGTCAAGTGATGAAGTGCCAAAAGTGGATCTGTTTCTGTAAGAGGGGGACCTATCATTTAAGAGGCAGATGTTATTTTGGAATAAAAAATCTATTATTTTTCCTTTCTGGTCTGAAGGTTTGTCTCCCCAAAGGGGGCTGTGGGCATTAAAGTCACCTAGCAAAATAAAAGGTTTTGGGAGCTGGAGCTTTAAGTTATTTAGTTGGGTTATTTTGAGGGGGTAATTTGGTGGGATATAAACTGAGGAGATCGTGATTGGTCTGTGCTGGGTGACCCGTACAGCAATAGCCTGGAGGGTCGTCTTAAGAAGTACTTGTCTGTGAAGTGTGTTGTTGTCGGTGTAGATGGTGGTTCCACCTGAAGCAATCTGGTTCTCCGTGCGAATGTGATGATACATAGTAAACCCTTTTAAGTCTATGGTTGAAGCCGGGGTGAACTTTGTTTCCTGTATACAGGCCACAAGGGGGAACAGGACACCTCACACTCCATCAAGGGGGTGGGGCATGGGGAGGAAAAAGAAGAAAAAGAAGGGATAGAAGAGGAGGGAGGGGAAGAAGAGAGGGCGGAGGGAGAGTCCACTCCATTCTACCCTTGAACCCCAAAGCGGTTAGAAAGTGGCACCTCAAAGGAGGGCACCATTGGGATAGAAGGGAGCTTTTTTGTCTTCAGCACAGAAACATGCCTGTTGACTGCGTGCTTTGGGAGGTCGGCAGTAGAGGTACTGATCGACCACGTGGCCACCCCGACTGCCTTTGAGTATGACCGGCCAATGACTGGGGTCATAATTGGCGGGCAGACAGTCTTTCAGGGCTCCTAGAATGAGCAGCTTTCTTGCACCTTGTACTCTTGGATGGCGCGTTCTTGGAGCCAAGTCGGGCACTCCTTTCTGAGCGCTGTGTGCTGGCCATGGCAATTGGGGCAGGAAGGACTAGCCTTGCATTCCTTTTCATGGTGCCCGGTCTTGCCACAACAAGTACACACGGCTGCATGTTGGCATCTCGACATACTATGGCTGAACTTCTGACACTTGAAACAGTGCAGAGGGTTCAGCAAACAGGGTCGCACGTCAAGTAGCTAATATGATGCCCGGACGGTGGCTGGAGGGAGACACAACTAAAAAAAAAGTGAGTACGATCGTGCTTGTGTCAATAGTGGTCTCCCCCGCAGCAGAATAATCCTGACGGGCTTCGACCACTCCCTCACAGTTCTCCACAATTTCTTCCATGGAGCAGCCTTTCAGCTCATGACTGCGGACGACGCCCTTCGAGCCGTTAAACTTATGGTAACACTCGGACTTACATGGAATACCGCCGAAGGTCGTGGTATCCAGGAGTTTGGTCACCTCGTCCCCAGTTGCACACTTGACAAGGAGAGAACCACTGGAAAGCTTCTGTACACATGTGGAGATGTATCCCTGAACTTTCTGTAGTGCATCTCCTGTCTTAAAGAGGTTCAGATCGGTAATCTTTCTCTGTGCGTCTTTTGGACTAGAGATGGCCACGTACGGCTGCCGCAGATACTCCCTGGGAAAAGGGAGGGTAGGAGCAACGGTAAAGGTCCTTTTGTTTTTGGGTTTGTTCGGATCGGCGGCTACAACCGCTTCCGCGAGCCGAGACTTTTTACATGCATTGAGAGCTGGGGCAGGGTCGATGGTATTTTTGGAATCCATAAGAAATTTGAGGATGGTTCAGCTCCAGGGATCCCCTCCCGCCATCGAGCCCAACAAGGGACCGCAGATTGATCTCACCTCAACTGCCAGGTACTCGGTTTCCCTCCGCAAGGGTCGCTCCTCAAGGTCAACAAGGCGCCCATGGGATGAGTGACCTCTAATTTTGCTCTGCATGAGGTCGGCGGTGGAAGAAGAGATAGAAGAAGTAAGAAAGAAGGAAGTAAAAGAGGAAGATACACCAAAGTAGGTGTTGCATCCGGATTCCAGAGGGTTGGGGTCCGTGTGCGACACTTCGTCATTAGAGTGGTTACACCTCCTACAGACGGGGTAGTGGGTCTATTTATGTACCCCCGACCCACAGGGGGTAAACCCATGACCTTTCAGTTGCGAGCTTAACTACTAGATCACCAATGCAGGTATCCTGCATGTTAGAACACTACTTGTCCCCAAAATGGGAAACTTTGTTTTGTAGAGGTTTTTACGAAGCTCGCAACTGCATAAGGTCATATGGGCGCCAGAAGATTAGAGGTGTTACAGGAGAGTAACAAACATAAAAAAGAAAAGGGGAGATAAGGACGATAAATGTTTGATAGGAAAGAAGGAGCAAACCACACCAGAGCACCCGCCAACCACCCACAAAATGGGAAAATGAAGGGGATAAATTATTCTAAAGAAAACTCACAGGCGTTGCAGAGATGGAAGGTGTTGATATGTCAGTCCATCACCCAGTGAGGTCAGTTGATTATTTTCTAAAATTCTGTGGAAACAAAAATAATAAGTTTTTAATGCATTCACTTACAGTACACAATAAATGTCATTGACAAACATAAATCAGTGCTACAAGAAACCCTTTTCACAAATGTTTCAACTTGTAACTCTGTAAAGAAGACAGTACAGTATTTTTATCATTTTATTTTCAATACATAAACAGATCATTCCAAAAGTAGGTATCTCTGAAAAAAATTCTTTCTGAAATGAAAGTTACACATTGATACAAAACAGGAATATTTGCCGCATTAGTTTGCTTATGTTCTATTGTAGATTGGTAATAGTTTTCTTTTCTTACTTTACTCTTTTCATTTATGGCCTCTTTCAATATCTGTGTTATTTGTCTTTTACTCATTCCCTCTCGAGAAAATAGTTGAATTCAAAACAACAAGTATGCAGTCACAAAAAGACTACATCTAATGTGTCATGACATTCTGTTTCCAAGAAGGATACCTACTCCAACTGTGTTTCAACCAAGTACATGTTTAGATCGTCGTCTCAGAACTATGTTATCTAAAGTGTACTTAAAGAATAAAGGGCACTTTGGACGAAATAATTCAGGGGCGACGAGGTGCACTTTGACATAAGCAATGGACACTAAAATAGTTGCGTTTTTGTTGAAAATAATCAGACATACACTTCCTCTTAACTTGTGTGCTGCGACATGACAAGCATGTAGGCCTGCATCCCAGTAGACATCTTTGTGCAGTACTCTAAACTACAATTATTTATTTGTATATCATAATGCTTAGATAATATTGAATTGAATCCTTCTACTTACAGTGTCCGAAGTTTATACAGATTTCTGAAAGCGTTGGGGTGTATGTAGGAGATCTTGTTATTTTGCAAAAACCTGAAAAATAATAATAATAATAATATAATAGATAGCATTTGTATGCGCATATCCCCGCTCAACAGCAGGCTCTATGCGCTTTACACTATATTATTACCCCAGCAGACCATAGAACACTCCGAAACATTCTCAGCTTCCCGGGAAGCATACAGTGCAAGCAGCTGACTAAGCGCTCAAACACTAACAAACTGACAAGATCTTTCGCTGTCTATAGCCGGGTACCCATTCCCACCTGGGTGAAGTGGGTCCAATATATATATGAAAACAATATAGAGCAAATGTTAAATGGTGAGTTCAGTCTGATAAGAAATTTATGGCACTTGCGACACAAATAAATCACTCAAGTGCTAAAGAGATGTCATGAGTAAGATAGAACTAAAAGAAGGAGGAGGGACATATGGATAATAGATGCTGGATGGCAAAGAAGAAGCAAACCTCACTAGAGCACTCACCAACAACTCGCTGAAATAATGAGATGATCTGAGCAAAGATTAGGATATTGACACAGTAACAATCATTTTGTGCCCAGATAGATGGGAGTAAGAGAGGAAAAGAGGCGATGTTGGACCTACTAGAGACACCATTAAACATCTGCGTGACGATGCAACAAACTGCACAAAGAGAAAGCAACACTAAAGGTACCAACTTTTACAACATCTGTACAGCCGGCTTTAGTATAATAAGAGTTTTATGACACTTCCAACACAAACAGGTTATGTGTTACAAGAGAGTAACAAACACAAAAAAGAAGAAGGAGAGATAAAGACGATACATGTTTGATAGAAAAGAAGGAGCACCCATCAACCACCCACTGGTACTGTCATCAACCTCTCGACATTTATTATGATAATAATAAAAACTAACAATCAATTAGCAAAAAAAAAATATTATTGAATAATAGAAACAATAATAGTAACTATAATAGCAATGATGAGAAGGACAACCATGATATATGATAATAAAAATAATAATAACAAAGATAATAATGATGATGATGACAACCATAGTTGTGGTGATCATTATCTTACTACTAATGGAGCTAAGGCCAAATTTTGCGAACAGTATATTCTCAGAAACTACCGAATTACAAAATATGAAACTTTGTCAGTACCCGTAACTTGAAACGTAGTGTTGCACTATTGTATTTTCATTAAGATAAAATGTGTAAGAAGAAAGCCCATTTTAAGTTAAATTCAGTCCTTTTGGAGCGATCGCCATCATTTGCTTCGACATCGTATATTCACTGCGGAGTGCCGACTGCGCCAAAGGATATTTTGTGTTCAGTTGGTTATACATTAAGTAGATTTACGGGAATTCCCGGTTTCGGTCTCACGCCTTTGACCGTCTTCTCACTGCGGGTATGGAGTGCTCATAGGAGGAGGAGGAGGAGGAGGAGGAG